GAAATAATAACTCAATTAACAATTGATGTTTTCTATTTTATCCACATTTATTTGTATTGTATTTAGCAGAAACTTTGAATATGAGAGATTTAAAATCTACAAATAATATTATATAGTAAATAATAACCTCTGTATAATATGGAATTTTAAAATAAAATGTTTTTGCATTCTTTTCAAATGTATGGTGATAGATTAGGCATTTTTACTTAATTAAAAAATTTAAATGTTATCATCAAGCAATCATAATTTCTTTTTTAGAGAGTAGTTAACTGAGGAAAACCACAGGGACTAAATTTATGTTCTTAATCACATCTTTTGTTATTGCTAGAAAATTCAAGCCAAAATTAACTCCTGTTGTAACCAGTTAAAAAATAAAATAGGACATCAGTACTCCAACCATATGTCATGAATGAATTTTCAACATCTTTATAGCGTTAAGCAAAATCACATATATTTTCCTACTGCCTTGCCCAAGTGTGGCAAATCTTTAATTAGAATAATTTCCATTAGCATATTAACTTTAAAGAAACATTTTTATTGCAAAACATAACAAATCTACTAAAAAGTGTATAAATATATATAGACAGGTTAACAAAGAGTTGTACAGTGAACATCTATATAACCACAACCCACATCACAATCTAGGGCATTGCTAGAATCACAGAAGCCCCCACTACTATGGCATGTATTTCTTCCTGATCAAAACCCCTTTCATCACCTCCACAGGTACTCACTCTTCTGTATTTCAAGGTAACTGATTTCTTGACTTTTCTTTATAGGTATACTACTATATATTGATTCCTAAACAATGTAATTTAATAATGCCTCTTTTGAACTTTATATAAATGGAATAACAGGGTATCAATTCTTTTGAGTTTTCTTTTTCCAAACAGCATTACATTTTTAAGTCTCATCAATGTTCTCATGTACAGTTGTAATTATTTTCATTGTGGTAAAATATGACAATGCTGGACTATACCATGATTTATCTATCTTCTCTGCTATTGGATTATTTTCAGTTTGGGCTATAACAAATAGTGCTGATGTGAGCATTCTTGTATATCTCTCCTGCATTCATATTCTCTGTGGTACATAGCAACATTACACTTCCAGATGGTTAGACTGTGATCACTTTTCCATTCTAAACCTTGGGAAAAATTGCTCTGCCCTCATCAGGTATAAAGTAAAAATCTAAATTTCAGTTAATTATTTCACAGATTTATATCAAATGTTTATTATGAGGCCTAACGGCATCATGGTAGATTGAAAGAATTACAATAATGTATACAATATCAATTCAACCCTCAGAATAGTTATAGCCTAGTAAGGGAGAAGGTATGCATAGAACAATCATAATAAAAATTGGAAATAACTAAGTTTAATAGAGAGGTACAGATAAAACATAACAGGAGTTCAAAAGAAGTGACTCCTTTATAGTGGCAAGAAAGAAGAAATGCCCTGGAGAGGAGGTGAAATCTAAATTTGATTCTCAAGGATAAATAGAAATTCGATTTGTATAGATGGGTGAAAGGACATTTCAAGGCACAGGTAACAGCACAAAAACACAGAGGTAAGGCAGCAAGGGACATGCATAAGAAACATGCAGTAATTCAAGGTGCCCAGTGAATATGAGCATTAAGAATAGTTTTCTCATTTGTTTATTAAATAAGTATTTAACATCTGAAAAGTAGGCTCAGGGAAATTATAATACAATGGACAGCAAATATAGACATTGTCTCTGTCTTTGGTGGAGCTTACAGCTTAGGTGAAAAATAAACATTAATCAAATAACCACACAAACAAATGTAAATTGAGTCCAGGAAAATTACTTTGAAGAAGATATAAAGTGAATGTAATAATTTTTGTTTCAAGGAAGACAAAAATGAATTTTTTTTAAGGAAAATATACTTGAGGTGACAGCTGGAGGAAAAACAGAAATGAACTAGTTCAAATAAGGGAAGGAAGAGCACTCCAGGTAGAAGAAATGGCATGTGCAAAGGGCCTGAGGCTATGGAGAGCAGAGAGTGTGAAGAGGCCTTCAAGAGACAGTAAATGAGAGAAAGATAGATTGGACCAAGATTTGAAAGACTATAAATATCAAGAAAAGGCAGTCTTTCCTAGACTATGTGAACTCCTTGAGGTTAGGAACCATGTTTTATTCAATTCTGCATCAGACATGTATCTGATATGTAGTAGATGCTCAAAACACTTGCTGAATTTACCTGAGCACAAGTTATATTGTAGCTAGTAGAAGCCACTGAAAAATTTGAGAAGAGCAGGTAAATTATAATTTATAATTAGATCTGGTTAGTGCTAGTAAGAAGAGTATGTAGGATGTGCTACTAGAACAGAGGTGATGTCCTGGAGGACTGAATTTTGCCTGTGCATTCAGAAAGGCTCCCCCAGGAAGGGTAACAATTACATTCTGAATGTGGAATAAGAGAAAAGTGTTTCCTAAACTTACCTAATGATAAGAAAGAATGCAGGGAAACTTGTTAAAAATATAGATTCCTAGGACCATCCCAGATCCTCTAAGTCAGACCCAAGGAGGGGTATGGGCACCTGTATTTATTAAAGAGCACTCCACCTGATTCTTATTTTCAAGAAAGTTTGAGAAACCCTGGTTATAGAGAACATTCTAGGGAAAAGGAAAGGCATGTTAAAGAGCCAGAAAGTATATTCAGGAAATGGTTGGAGACAGGGAATCAGTGGGGAATAGGTTATTGCTGAGGCTGGACAGAGGGATTGAGGCCAGATTGTGAAAAGCTTTATTGGGTAAGCTAAGGAATTTTGTGAATAATGGGGACTCAGTGGAAGATCTTAGTCAAGAAAGTGAGTTTTGGTAGGGGGCGGGGGGATGATAACCAGAGAAATCTAAGAGTACAGACTTAAGAAACATTTCTCAGGCAGAATTGATAGTGAATTGATAGTGTTTAATGGCTACTTCCATGAGAAATGCAAGAAAGGAGAGGTAGAGAATGAATCCGAGCTATCTAATCTGGTAGGCTGCCTTTGTTAGGGAGGGGATGTATGATAAGAAAGCATTCCACTTTGCACTTTCGTTTTTCCAACTAAGCATTCAGTGAGTATTTTTATTCTGAAGAATCAAGTCTTCCCTCAGCTTGGGGAAATTGTATTCTATTATTTCTTTTATTACTCCTTTCTCCTCCATTATTTCTGTCTATTCTCTTTTGAAATCCCTATTTATTTTATTTAATAATCCATACCATTTCACTCCCTCAAAAATAGTCTCTCTGTTTTCTCTCCTTTGAAATCACTATAAGATGGACATTGTGTACCCTCCAACCTATTAATTTCTCTCTGTGTCTTTTAAATCTGTGTTCTGGGAGAATTCCTTGACTTTATTTCCAGATCATTAATTTAGTCCGTGGTAGGCTGACTTTGTTAGGGAGGGGATGTATGGTAAGAAAGCATTCCATTTTGGACTTAAGTTTTACATGACAAATAACACCAAGTTGATACCTCTAATGGGCAGTTGGCAATAGAGACCTCATATTTGGGAGAAGTTCTCAGGGCTCCGAATTTGGATACCGAAGTCTCTGATGTTGAAGCATGAGAATGTCACTTTTATATGGATGTAAATTGACACATGGACCAAAGACAAAATTATGGGGAAGTAGATGTGTTATAAGTAGTACTTATAGGACCAATCAGCAAAGGGAACTGAATTTATGGAAATGGGGGAGCTAGCAACTGCAGTCTTGGCTACTTTATCTTCGGACTCTGAAGTCTACTAGAACTAACAAAATAAAAATATTCCCATTCTGATTGGACTCACAAAAAATATATTTGCCACTCATCTAGAACATTTCAAACACCTACTAAAATTCTAGAAAATTTGCTGTTGATTGACCTGATCAGCTAAAATAAACATACGAAATCCAGGGAGGCTACCGATCCTTAAATTCAAGAATGCCAGAAGTCCTTAGTACTTGGATTTTAGTTCTGTCTTTTCCACTAATCTGGGAAAATCATTTAATTTCTATGAACTGTTTCATCCGTCAAAAAAGAAAAGCTAAGGAGGTTGGGATTAGCTAGATGGTACCTTACATTGCTTCCAGATCTAAAATCTAATTCCAGCTCTAAATTCTCCAGAGACCCGAGCAATTCTGAAACGGAAATCTTAAATAGTTTTCAAGAGCAAATCTTGAAGTAACGATTCCTGTTTCCCATCCCACCATTCCTCGTCCTCGATGAATACTGATTTGGGAATCCTGAAAGTTATGTAGGAGACACTGGATACTTTTTCAGTTCCTGTCGTGAGTGTAGCTGACTGTCACACATCCACTCTGAGCGGTGTCTGGCTTCACGTCAGTGGAATGGTATACATTTGATCCCAAGAGCATCTCCTTCCTCAGCACCCTTGAGGTGGCTCACCAGGCACCTGATACTTCCTTACATCCCAATAGAATCCTCATAAGCCTTCTTCAGGTAGTTTTGTCAAATAAGTCTGTACTCTCTAAACTGAAGAGTTAGATTTTTATTTTTCGTACCAGAATTGAAGAAAAAAGGGGGGGGGGGCGGAGAGAGAAAGAAAAAGAAACGTTTACTTTTAAAAAAGCCTAATGACTCCCTTACAAGGGGCATTTACTTTAAACTATATAATCAAGTAACACTGGTATTGAATAACCGGTGTCCGTCTCTGTCACTTGATTCTTGCAATACCTTGTGCCAGGAGCTGTGCTGGTTCCTGGAGTTGAATTAAAAAAAAAAAAAAAAAAAGGCAACCTTTGTGAGGCCGCTCGCGATTCTGGTGGCTGCACGCAACCCTGCAGTAAGGCAGCTGGGTATCTCTTTAAGAACCAGGCGGCAGACCTTCGCAACAGGCACCTAGACTTAGTAGTGTATTCTGTACTTTGCGCAATCGGGCTTCCGGCCCTCGCCCCGCCCCCACCAGCAGGCTCCGCCCCTGGATTCGCCGCGCTCCCAGCAGGCGTCGCGCGAGAGGCGTCGCCACGCCCCTCCGGCTCTGCCCGCCCCTGGCTCTGCTGGGGAGATGGCGGAGTTGGATATTGGGCAGCACTGCCAAGTGGAGCATTGCCGGCAGCGAGGTGATCAGGGAGTCCCCGTTCCGGGCCACGGAGACCCGGGCCGCGCTTTGGCTCTACAGGTGTGGGTGGCGGGTGAGGGGAGGCTCCGGGGCCAGCCGCAGGAGTGGGGCGGGCACGTCCCTACTGGGTCTGCAGTGACGTGTGTTGAGGCTTTTTTGTTGCCCCTGTGCCTTTGGAAGAGACTTGTGGTCTCATTGGAAGGGAGCTGTGCATTCCTGAAAACGTAGCATGCAATGTTCTCTTTGGTTTTCGAGAGCACCTTGCCCGGGAAGTCCACGGAGCACACTGCTGGGTCGCGTAGCCCCCACTCCTTTCTGCTGAGCGCGCGGAGGGAGGACGCTTGCGTCTGCGGTTCGGAACACTGGAGCGCTCCTCTGGCCTTGCCACTGTGACCTTGGGCTAGGCACTTTCTCACACTTTTGTTTACTTATCAGTTACTTATCTATCAGACGGAAGAGTTGGGTGAGACCAGTTTTTAACCTGGTGTTCATGAGCTTCTTAGGAAACGAGTGTCTGTGAGAAGGCCCCTAGCTTTTATCAGATTCTCAAAGGGATCCTGATCCTCAGACTATTCTATGCTCTCCTAGCTTGAGCATTCGTTGATTCTGATTATCATTGTTTGGGCGAACATTTACAGAGCATTGATTTTGGTGCTGGGACCACATAAGGGTATAAGCTATGGTCTTTTACACAGAGGAACTTTCAGCCTAATAAGCTGCATTTTAGAAAGTATTAGTAATACGGTGATGCTCTCCCTCCATTGGACTGAGAGACCTTGCAGTACATATAGCTCGTAGTGGTGTGGTACAGGCTCAGGATGTTATACAATTGGAACAGGTAAGTTCCTAAGAGCCACACAGACTGCCCAGTCGTTGATACCTGGGTCTCATTCCAAATGTGTATCATCATATTTGGCACATACTACAATAGGGTGGAAAATAGGTTTCATTTCCTCCTGCAGGTTCAGTCATTTATAGCAAGTGCCTGAATCACTGTGTTGAGGACTCTGAGGTTTAGCCCAGGTTCAGTGTATGTCATAATTGATTAATAATACCTGCCACGGGCATGGATGAAAGGACAAGTATCACAGTCCCTGCTAGGTTCTTTTTATTTGTAGCACTCTGTATATGTATTTTTCACCACTAGCTGTAATCACCAGCCACTAAACAGGTAAGAACCTGTTTCCTTGCAGTCCTTTCATGTGGAAACAGCCATTTGAGTTTTGACTGTAGTTATGTATATCAGGTGTGCCTGATTCCCCCTGAGGAGTCTAATGCATGTCATCTATTACCTATGACAGTTCATCTTCCTTTCCAACCTCACATGTAATGAGTCCAATACATATTATCTGCTATCTGTGACATAGTTCATCTTCCTTTCCAACTTCATGTGTCTTTAGTGTCAATATCTGAGATGAGATCAGGGCAGGGCCTATCTCTTTGGGACTACTGGAAAGGGGTTAAGATTTAATTTGGTATCCTAAATTTCATCTAGCTTCTGGATGAATAGAAGGATGGTATCGGGTACAAGGAAATTATCTTCACTCTTTTCCCTGAGTCCTTCGGGTTTGCATATAATACTTGGTTACCAAAAGTCACAAAATAGCAAGCATGTACAATTTTTCCATATTGAAAAAGATATAAAAGTTTTGCAGAGTATTACCTGCTTTGATTTTTTTCTCTCGTTGACAAATGTATCCATAATTTCTTGATATGACAGAAGCTCACAGTATCATGTTTTACTAATAACACTGACAGTTCATCAAGCCCACTTCTCAGGTGAGGCAAGAAGTATTCAGGCCCTCTTGTGGACGTCATAATTATCCAGGGGTCCTTTTTGGATACAATAGGACATCTTTCTATTTTGGGTTAGGATACCCTGTGGAATGAGATCTTTTCAAGGCAACTGTAGCTTTCTCTAAAGTGGGAATGAGTACTACCTCCTGGTTTTCAGTTAGTGAAAGTGGTATGATTGGATATATCCAGCCTCACTTGTCTGTATACTGTAATTGAATATGAAGTGTACTGAAAACAATTTAGATAGTGATTAATAGTTAGTTGCCACATCTGAGAATGAATACTTTTATGTGCTTTCCAAAAGTTCAGATTCCAACTTAGTTGTTGCTTACTTACTTGGTCCTAACTTAAAAGCAAAGAAAGAAACAATTCAGTAATTAATTTTAAATATCAATCATTTATTGAATTTTTGAGGTCTCTTTGAAAGTATCTCCACCCAGTCACTGCAGTATTTTTTTGAGTTGAGCATATTCAAAAGATGTTAATTGTTGTGATTATTCTTATTAATTATAGTTGCTTTGTTACTGCTCTTTTACATGTATCTCGTTTGGTTTTTACAATTACTCTATGAGGCAGGTGTGGCATACAGCACAGATACAGATAGAAATATATACATACATGCATACACATATATACACAGGTACTACATGCTTGTATCTATATATTTATATATAGATATGCTTGTATCTATATAGAGAGATTTGTATTATCTTTTAGTTCTATTTTTCCACAAACTTACTGAAGTACCCTCATATCTATTTATATCTATATATAATAGAGCTTTGGTTTTGTGTACAAATATATACATACATACAGAGACCAACACACATATACTATTGTTTTAGTCCATTTTGTGTTGCTATAACAGAAATACCTGAGACTGGGTAATTTATAAGGAAAAGAGGTTTATTTGGCTCATGATTCTGGGACAGCTACATCTGGCATGGGCCTCGGGCTGCTTCTACTCATGGTGGAAAGTGGCAGGCAGCCCGCGGGTACAAGCAGATCACATGGCGAGAGGAAGCAAGAGAGAGAGAGAGAGAGAAGGTGTCAGGGTTACTTAAACAATCAGCTCTTGCGGGGAACTAATGGAGCGAGAACTCACCACCCCTCTTCCCCCAGGGAGAGCATTAATCCATTCATGAGCGATCTGTCCCCATGACTCAATCAGTTTCCAACACTGCCACATTGGAGATCAAATCTCCACATTAGTTTTGGAGGGGACAACACATCCAAACTCCATCAACTATATACTATAACAAATAAATATATCCAAAGCTTTACTATTAAGTAATTTACTATTAAGTAATTGCTAGTATTAATCTGGCATTGCTAGATTAATAAACACTCGAATCAGAATTGAAGCCCAGGTTTTTTACTCTAAATGCAGAATTTTTGCAGTATAGTCCTCAAAAACAACACCCAGTAAATCTGGGAAACAAAACAAATCAAAATAATAAATACCAAGAGAACTTCCTCTAATACAGCAAAGCTAGTACAAGTAATATCTATCTCCTGTCAATACAGTTACTTTCTTTTAGAGTTATTGAGGGTGTGATGACTTTTGTTCAACAGTTGTTACCTACTGACTTGCTGTGCTTGGATAATACTCAAAAAGGGAAGTTCTCCTATAGAGGTGCTTCATTACTTTTAGGGTTATTTTTGCTTAAGGAAACTAAAACAAAATCAGATACTGACCTGTACATACAACATTTTTTCTCAATTTTAGATTTTCTTCCATTTGTATGTGATGGTTGTTCAGGAATATTTTGGTAAGTTAAGTTTTTATGCAGAATTTGGAAGTAATTTTAGTGTTTGTAATATGTGTTTTATTTCTGAAAAGCAGAGTGATTTAAAGTAGTTGTTAGTTTAGCTGTTGATATTTGATATTTGGTATAGTAATCACTTGGAAAAAAGAAACAGACTATACATATGCTCTGATTAGTTATTTGTGACTGATCTTTAAACATCCAGAAATGGGATTTATATATGTGAATTTTATGTAAAAACTGTATTTGTGTCTTTTAATTACAAGCAGAAAATAATATCTACAATATAAAGAATATGGTTAAAATACCCAGCTATACTTATTACTCTTTATTTTAATTAATAAAATGAAAAGAGCCCCAACCTATAAAATTCTGAAAATGATATCACATGTCATTTGAACACATCACACGCAAAGTAAAACCTGGGAACTAACCAGGAATTTTGAAAAATGTATTTTCTTTACAATTAAGCTTTTAAAAATCAAGCATTTAATTTATTCACTGAAAGAACAAATTCTTTTCAGAGTATAATTCAGGAAGATTCATTAGAAGTAAATAAAAGTAATGCGTATTTTTAAATCATTTAGAATTACAGCACTCCTTTGATATTTTGCTACTGATGGTCTTTAAGAAATAAAAGGAATTGAAAAATTTGTTGGTATTTTAACACACCTGAAAGCACTCAGAGTAAAGGTAATTTGGAGTGGTGAATTGTTTTATATTAAAGTTGAAGGTTTGTGTTTTAAAACTTTGGAGACTATAAATGCTTCATATGTAATTTATCTGTCATTTCATTTTATTCTTATGTGCAAAGACATTAATGTAGTATAAATGTAATTTATTTTTAGGATGCTAAACATTAAGATATCTCATATTACTATAGTCATTTTAATTATATTATTTGATTGCATTTAAATAAACACTTTTTTTTATTATTATTATTTAAGCCTTGAACACAGAAGCAGAGGGTCTCATGGTTGTCCTGAGGTATGTTAATAGTTCTGCAATCTGGTAAGACATATCTGTATTCGTATATTTTCATTTAGAATTTGTTTAGATTTAAAGCCAGTCAGTGCGGCAGAGATTAAAGTTTAGCATAATAATCTGATTATGTAAAGAGGCTTTTGTTTCATTTATGTTATTTTTCTCTGTTTTAAAGAAAAATTGGTCTGCTTGGTATTTATAAATTCTGATCCTCCTAATTCTTAGTTCCTAACATTTCTGTTTAGGTAGCCCACTTACAGCATTAGGCTATATATTTATAAATATACATTGGAATTATTGTCTTCATCATATACTTCCTCCAGTGGGATAGTGTTATATACTACAGGTTGAGGGCTTTGTCTCCCAAAATTGAACATACTTGCAGATACCAGTCATAAGTCAGGACCTCTGGAACTTCTGACCAACCAGCTTCAAGTCGAGGTTCCCATGCTTTAGGCTTGATTCATTTGCTTGTGCAGCTCACAGAACTCAGGGAAACGTGTTTACCAGTTTATTATAAACGATATTTTAAAAGATACAAATAAACAGCCAGATGAAGAGGTACTTATAGCCAGGTCTGGAAGGGTCCCAAGCTCAGGAGCTTTTGTTGCTCTGGAGTTGGGGTAATGAGTTCAGCTCATTACCTCCTGGCAGTAGAGTTCAGCTGTCCAGAAGCTTCTTGTACCACCTCGTCTTGGGCCTTTTATGGAGATTTCATTGGATAGGTATGATTGAAGCATGGACAACCATGTAGAAATGTGATTGGACAAACAGGGTTTGATCTAATGCTGATAGACTAAGTGAGAAAACCCAGCAAGGCCTGCCTGTGCAGATTTTTCTTGGCCTCTCTGCAGTATGTCTTCCTCCCAGGTATGGGGCAAAACCTCTTCTGGAATGGGGGTCTTATGACCTACTATTAGAGAAGGTAGGGAGAGAATTTCTTTATGACTAGTTATAAGACAGAAAGGCAGGGGGAAGATTAGAGTATATTATTAGCCTTGAGAAAAAAAAGGAGCAGGTGAAAGGAGGGCAGGAGAAGGGCAGAGAGAGAGATTCTGTTTTCTGAGCCCTGCTTCTGAGGCCTAAAGTGCCCCAGCATTCTAACAAAAGAACAAGGACTGTGGGAGTTAGGAGCCAGGAACCGTGGACCAAAACCAACATATACATGTATATATCATAATAGCACAATACCACAGTAGGAAAAGTGTGTTAACGTAAAACAGTTAATTTGCTTGTGCAGAAACACTTATTATAAAGACTCAACACAAACACTCATTATAATTTTTGTGAATGTGTCATTTGCTGTAATAAGTTTAAGCAAAAATGATATGGATGCTGCCTTCCAAAACAGATTTCTTGATTTGTTTTAAATGTGAAATACAAAGATAATGCCATTTTTCCCTTTTTACATTTACAGGTGACTGTAACCAATGAGCAACTGAAGACAGATAAACATAAATCTTACCCATGTTCATTCAAAGACTGTGCTGAAAGAGAGCTTGTGGCAGTTATATGTCCTTATTGTGAGAAAAATTTTTGCCTGAGGTGATCACTTAGACCATTGAAGCTTTATATATCTGTTTAAGTTGTATACAAATACATGAACTAGTGTCACTTTTCTGTTGCCTGTAGACACCGTCATCAATCAGACCATGAGTGTGAAAAACTGGAAATCCCAAAGCCTCGTATGGCTGCCACTCAGAAACTTGTTAAAGACATTATTGGTAAGTATCTAGAAAGTTTGTTTTCTTGCTTTCTTCATTGCCATGAAATCTATTAGGTCCAGAGCTCCTGTATCTTATGTCTGCTTACCAGCTATGGAAGGCATTGTTAAGAGCTCCAGTGGTAATAACTTGCATTTTAATGACATTCTTGTGACAGTATTTCTCAAAATGCCTGCTTGACCAAAGAAAATTTGGAAATTGTTTGGAACTATGCTACCATAGGTTCTCTTTTGCTGGGCCACTTAAATCAGGTATTTATCCATCATGGTTAGAAATGGTATTCATGAGGTTGAAGTAGTAGATCGCTTTCTCTAAAGACTAAATTATAAGGCTTGTCAGCCGTACTATGAATGCTGCTGATGATATCAAGTACCAGGAAAGAATGTATCTGTGACTTAGATCAGTCTCTCTGCTAATAAATTAGTTCAGAATTTTCATTCTGTATTAAGGATAGTACCTTTGTTAAAATCTTTCATAACCAAATCTTAGGGCTCTCTGTAAAAGTATTAGTGGCCACTTTAGATTAAATAGCCTTAAGTTGGAAAGAAGCATATAATTGATTTTTTTGATGTGGAATTTGCTTAGATAAACCTCAATGATATTTTTCCATTGATCATGTAAACACAATGCCTATACAATGAATGTGGTCTCTATATATCTATTGTGTGTAATTTGTGTATATTTCAGGGCCATAATTAATAAATGCTGTTTAATAAAACTCTGGGAAAATGTAACATAAAAGTTCTTATGTTCTTACATGCATACACTTATTTCTTAGATTCCAAGACAGGAGAGAAAGCAAATAAACGATGGAGAGGTGCAAAAAATAGTGAAACTGCTGCAAAGGTTGCATTGATGAAACTAAAGATGCATGCTGATGGGGACAAGTCATTGCCACAGGTTGGTCTTAGGGATTTTGAAAACCAAAAATTTCCAAATATAGTTGAAGTTCCTTTTTTATTCCTCCTTCTCATCATGTAACTAAGGTGGACTTGACATATATCATTTATAATATTACATGGTATATGTCTGCATAAATAATACATAGTTTTGTAAGTTTTTCACTTTACAGAAATGGCAGTGAGCCATATGTATCTTTCTGCAACTTTTTTTTTCTAGTGGCATCATGTTTTTAACATTTATCCATGCTGATACATTTGATATCTAGTTTATTCATTTTGATAGCTGTACATTATTCCATACTGTGAGTATACCCCAGTTTATGCATTCCCTTAATAAACAAAATTCAAGGGCCGGCCTGTGGCTCACTCGGTAGAGTGCGGTGCTGATAACACCAAGGCCACGGGTTCGGATCCTATATAGGGATGGCCGGTTTGCTCACTGGCTGAGCGTGGTGCTGACAACACCAAGCCAAGGGTTGAGATCCCCTTACCGGTCATCTTTTAAAAAAAATAAATAAATAAATAAATAAACAAAATTCAGATTTTTCCAATTTTTGCTATTATAAAGTATTCTGCTATGAACATCCTTGCATATGTGTTGGACAGTTTCTCTAGTACAGTTTCTTTAAAACTTCACAATATTGGCTGGCCAGTAACACCAAGGGCAAGGGTTTGGTTCCTCCTACTGGCCAGCTGCCAAGAAACTTCACAATATCAGTTAGTTTATACAACAACCCAGTATGTGTGTGTGTGTGTACACACACATACACACACACACACACATATGCATACCTTAACACAGTTTCATTAAATTATACTTAGCCTTAATATGTGTTATATATTCTGGTAATTTTTATTTTATTTTATTTTAAAGATTGTTGGTCAGAGCCTCTTAGGTTAATTTTCTAACCCCTGATGGATTGAGACCATAAGATTAAAAAATGCTACTCTAGGGGCCGGCCCGGTGGCACACTGGATAGTGCGCCGCTTGGGAAGCGCAGCGGCGCTCCCGCCCGAGGGTTCGGATCCCACATACAGACCGGTTCCCGCTCACTGGCTGAGCGAGGCGCGGGAGCGGCACCGAGGGTTGCGATCCCATTGCCGGTCCCCGGTCCGGTACGGGGGCAACACTGAGGGTTGCGATCCGTTGCCGGACACGGAAAAAGACAAAAGACAAAAAAAAAAAAATGCTACTCTAGGAATATATCTAGAAATAAAAAAGCTGGGAAATGGGATTTGCTCATCTTCAGCTTTACTAGACATTGTCCACTTCCTATTGTCAGTGATAGTACTGATTTATCTCCTTCCATTAGTGCTTTCCATCATATTTATTCTTGTCCATTTATTCTTCCTTAAAAATTTTAGGATCACTTTGTTCTGTTCTGTAAAATTACAGTTTTCATAGGAATTGTGCTGAATTTTAGGTTAGAGACAGTAGACATCTTTAGAATTTTGACTCTTCCCATCCATGTCTATAGTTTATCTTTCCAACTTTTCTTTAGGTCTTTTTTAAATATGTTTAAGTAATATTCTATAATGCTTGCCATAATTATTCAATTTTCTTTTCTTAGGTTCATTCTCAGGCTCTTTATAATTTTTGCTGTCATTGTAAGTGATACTTTTAAAAAAAATTACATTTTAGTAATTAGTTATTGCTGTCCCACAAATATATCACTAATATTTCTCATACTTTGTAGATTTTCTGTGCAGTCATATCTTCTGCAAATGCCAGTTTTTGTTGGGGTTTTTTTCCAAGAATTTTCTTTTCCTCTTACTCCTTCTTTTTATTATCATTACTTGTCTTAGTGCTGAGATCTCCAGAACAATGTTGAATAGTATGGGTAGTAGCAGGCATCTTCATCATGTTTCTGACTCAATGCAAATGCTTCGAAAGTTTCATCAAGTATTATGTTTTCTGTAGGTATTTAATAGTAGCCTTTATCAGGTTAATGATATTTCTTCCTATTCCTAATTTGTTCAGAATTTATATTATGAACGAGCATTAAACTTTACTATAATTTTTTTTCTTGCATATAATAAGATGATCATTTTTTCCTTATTAATTTGATAAGTTACATTGATCAATTTTTCTATTGTTAAATCATTCACATATTTCAGGATAAACCACTTGACTCTGGTATATAATTGTTTTAAAATGCATCGCCAAATTCATTTGCTAACATATTATTTAGTGTTATTTGGTGACATTAATATCAAGATTATACTTGTAAAATTAATTAAGCAGCTTTCCCTCTTCTGTTCTTTGAGATAGTTGTAGAACGTGGCGATTTTTTGTTCTTGAAGGTGGTTACATTCATTTATAACTTTTTGATATGTTTTCTTTTTTGAGGGTATAATTTTGAATACTATTCCAATGTGTTATATACTACTTGGTTTATTTAGATAATCTGTTTCTTCTGAAATCAGTTTGATAAATCATATTTTTAAAAAAATTCTTATTTGATGTAGATTTTCCAGTTTATTTTTATGAAGTTCAAGTGTTATGATCCAAAAATCTCTATTGTGTCTTTAGTTGTTCCATTTCATTCTGAATATTTTTCATTTGTACTTTTATTTCCCCTTAAACTGTGTTGCTAGAGGTTTATCTTTATTTTTGTGTTAGTCTTTTCAAAGAACCATATTTTGGTTTTATTGACCTCTGTTGTTTCTTTGTTTTCTGTTTCACCAATTTCTACTCTTTTATTTCTTTCTGCTTTGTTTTTTCCAACTTGTCATCTAGAATGTCACCTTACTTATTTTCAATGTACTTGTTTGGGTGTGTTTTTTTTTGGTTATCTTTATTTTTATACAATTTCAAATACAGAGAAGTTGCAAGAACAGTACGAAGAACTTTTCCATATCCTCTACCCAAATGCACCAGTAATTTACATTTTGTCCTATTGGCATTACCATTTGCATTCTCTGTCTCTGTCCATATGTATGCATATGTGTTTGTGTGTTCATGTGCTTACTAATTTTTGGTCTGCTAAGTCTGTCAGTTTTTGAGACAGATGTGCTAAAATCACCCACTATGGGTGTGGTTTTGTTATCTTTTTTCTTATAATTCTAACAGTTTTGCTGAATTGTGTAGTATCAGGTGAATAGGGTTTCTTCATTTTTTTATCTTTATGAATTTTGTGTTAAATCCTGTTTTGAAGTATAGGAATATTGTTTCACTAGCTTTCTTTTGGTGAATATTTAACTATTATGTCTTTTTTTCATTCCTTTATATTCAACTTTTCTGTGTTGTTTTGTTTTAGGGTGTCTCTTGTAAGCAGCATGTAGCTGGACTTTGTTTTTTTAATCCAGTTTGATAGTATCTCTCTTTTATAGGTGAGTCGAATCGTTTTATATTTATTGTAATCACTGATGCATTTGAACATATTTCTTCCGTCTTATGTTTTCTGTTCATAATCATTTTTCTTTGATTCTTTCTCTTTCCTGTCGTCTTTTGTACTGATTGAATTTTCCATATTCACTTTTATTCTTCTGGTTTAAAAACCATTGATAACAGTTTTCTGATTTTAATAATTATCCTTAATATTTTTCCTGTTTGAAATTTTATTTATTTGATACTTTTAAAATTGCGAAGTTAGTACATACCTTTAACAAGTATAATTATTAAAAGATGCATATAGAAAAAAACAAACACACCCTCCTGTGTCCCTTACTCATTTCCATCCTTCTAAAGTAGTGGTTCTCAGCTGAGGGTGATTTTGTCCCCTAGGAGACATGTGAAAATGTCTGGGGACATTTTTGCTTGTCACAGTTGGGGATAGGGGGCTACTGGTATCTAGTGAGTAGAGGCCAGAGATGCTGTTAAACATCCTACACTACACAGGACAGGGCCCACAACAGAGAATTTTCTGGTCCAAAATGTCAATAGTGACAGAGTTGAGGAGACCTTTCCTAAAGTATCCAATAATATTATTCACATTACTTTGCAATTCTTTTATTACTTAAAACATAATAGTAAAAACTTGTATAGCACTTACTTTGTTCTAGTAACAAAGTAACACATTTTATCCTTGCAACAAACTTATGAGGTATGCACTATTAACTCTATTTTATAGATTAGAAAACTGAGACAAAAAAAGGTTAAGTAACTTTCCAGTAACATAGCTAGTAAATGGAAAACTGCTAATGTTTGAAACCAGGTGACTTGGCTTCAGAAACAATGTTCTTAAAACACTTAACGATATATTATGGAGCACTCCACAAGTTTGTAGATATGTTTTTACCCTTATCATCAATTTTTATGTGTACATGTGTAAATATAGGTGTATAGAGATATATGTATGTATGTATGTATTTATATATGTGCATGCCTACATATATAATATGTATACATACACATAAACACATACATATGCATATATATACATGCACATATCCATATATACTGTATGTACATGTGTATATACATATGTATAATTTTACATAAATGGAAATGTATTCTACTTGTATATGTATGCAAAGGCATAAAGAGCGTTTTTCTGTAATTATTTTACAAAAATGTCATTATATTCATTTAGTCAACATGCTGCTTTTTTGGAATATATTCTTTATACCAGGCCCTGGGGACACAGCAGTGAGTAAAACAGTACCCTTGTGGAGTTTATATTCTATTGGGGTGAGACAGTTATTAAGTACATAATATGTCATATAGTGATTAGGGATATTAATGAAAATAAAAGAGGTTTTGGGTAGATTATATATTCTCTCATTAATGCCTAGTAGAAATTCCCTCAAGTGAGCTGGTGTGGCTTTAAATAATTTTCTTTAAAAGTTGCATAATATTGTGAGGTGTGGATGTACTGTGATTCATTTTGCCATTTTCCTATTGGTAAGCAATCACTTTGTTCCTAGTTTTTGCCACTGTGCTAAGTAGCCTTACTCTGGTACTACTATTTCTGTGAGAGATAAACTCCCAAGAGTGTGTTTGCCATATCAAAGAGTATGTGTATTTTAAATTTTAGTATTTATTGCCAAAGTACGTTACAAAGAAGTTGCAATAATTCATGTTTCTTCCAGCAATAATTATAATAGTCAAATTTTATTGACTGATTACCTATGCCAGGCATTGTTTTGGGCTGTAGATTTTTTTATCCCCTTTAGTACTCAAAAACTTTTCTGTAATATTATCCTCATTTCACAGATAAGTAATCCAAAATTAAGTATTGCTCAAGATCACTCAGGTGGTAAGAGCCTGCCATCCTAACCAGTTTAGTATGCCTCTTGTGGCCAGACATGAGAGTGCCCTTCTCCTGCCATGGTTTCCAGTAGCTGTTCTCACTCTTATTGTTTTCCAGTCTGGTGGCTGTAAAAAGGTATCTCATGATTGCTTTAATTTGTATTTCTTTGACTACTATTCAGTTTGAGCATCTTTTAATATGTTTCTTTGCCCATTTGGAATTGCTCTTCTCTGATTTGCCCATTTATAGTCTTTGATTTTTTTCTTTTGAGTGGTTTGTCTTTTTATTCTGTTTGGTCAACTTATGGAAGCTCTTGGAGTGTATAGATATTAATCCTTTATCTATAATCAATCTGCTTTGCAAACTTTTTTCCAAAATCTATCAAATGTGTTGATTTCACTTACATTTCTCATTCTCAATGTTTTAAATTTTTCTAAAGTCTGTCTTTTTTTTCATTTATGTTTTGGTTTTCTTTAACATTTGTTTTTTTATTGTCTTTAATCTATTTGGATATTTCTTTTTAGTGTATGAAATGTACTAAGGGCCCAGTTTTACTATTTTCTAGTTGTTTAGCTAGTTTTTCCATCACTAATTATTAAATAAGTCACCTTTGGATCCCTGTACCAGCCAACCGCCAAAATAAACAAACAAATAAATAAATAATCTTTGTTTCATTGAATTGAAATACCAAAACATGACCTCACAATAAATTTTAGCATTTTATATATATGGATCAATTTTTTAATTTCCTATTCTATTCCGCTTATCTATTTTTTACTCATGCATTAATACCAAATTGATTTGATACAGTGGCTTTAAAGAATGTTCTGTATCTGATTATGCAAGTTTCATCCATAATTTTCCATATTTCTTTCTTAGGTTTTTTTTTTTTTTTTCATCTTTAGCATTTATTCATCCGTATGAACTTTATGATTATTATATACAAATTTTGAAAAACACCTCTCAGGATTTTCATGGTTGCCTCATGGGACAATACTGTGAATGATAGACTCCAACAGTTGCTATTAAAGAATATAGACTCTTTAAAGGTGAAAATGAGAGTATGATTATAAAAAAATAAAAAGCAAGAGATAGCACAACGTGGTATTAAAAATGTGGCTTACATCCCCCAGTGTTTCCCTCAAGGGTGTAAGATGTGAATAATAGTGGCAGTGGGAAGTGAGGATTCAACCATTTCTTATAAGGCCCCTTGGCCATTCTCATGGGGATTTTATACCCTCTTGGCATCCTCCTTTTTGACCTGGGAATTCTGGCCCCTTCCTTGCTCATGAGATACTAGTAACTGATGCAAAACCTCCTCAATTCATTCTTGAGTGATTTCTGTGATTTTAGTTGAAGTAAAATGCAATTCCCTACCTGCAATTTATTAGCAAGTCTAGGCTTTAGGCTTGACTCAGGACCCCTCCTGAAGGATTCACATTGGATTTGCATTATATGCTATATATTAATTGGGGAGGAAAGTTTTTTTGACATTGTCATTTTTATGACATTGTCTTCCTAAGAACCTTATATGAAAAAAACCTTTTAATTTATTCAAGTCATGTTTTATTGCTTCATGTAGCATTTTATATTTTTCTCATTTTGTCTTATACCTTATTCTCATTGCTAATTATTTTATGATTTCTGTTTTTATTGTGAACAAAATATTTCTACCCACTTCTATTTCTAGGTACTTACTACTAATGTAGAGAAAAAAAATTTTGAGTCCAGTGTAGTGTTCTCTAGGTATGGATTTATTTCAGTTATCCAGCTGGGCACTTCAAGTACATTTTCCATTTTGACTTACCTCTTCACTTTTGGAAAATTGAAGTAATTTTCTCTCTGAATATTGCTTCTTCACCATTCCTTCTCATTCGTAACTCTTGTTGACATATTTTGCGAATCTGTAATTTTTTCTCTTTGTGTCTATTTGTGCTACATTCTAGATGACTTCCTCAAATCCATCTTTTAATGAATTAAGCCTTTTAAGCCTTTTTGTTGAGGATTATAAAAATTTATCCTGTTTGAGTTTCTTATTTCAGAAACTGTTTTTTTCTTTTTCTTTTCCTTGCAGAACTCACAGTGTATGAAACTTCTTTAACTTTTATATTTGTAATTGGATCTTTTATGTTTTTTCTTGTTTCGTTTCTGCCTGTTTTGGTTTCATAACTTCCTGTTAGTTTTTGTGAATGTTATTCCTTAATTTATCTCCTCATGCATCCCGAATAACTAATTTGAATGTCTTTTTTTAAGTTCAGTTATTTGCTCATAACGAGCTAGTTAATAACCTACAATTAGTTTTGAAATTTTAGTTTACTGATTCTACATGTTTGTTTCAAGTAGGAGGTTTTTTCTGTATCTCTCTTCCTCCCCTTACTCAACAATGCTTATCTGGCAATTTTACATTTTCTTCTTCCCGGCCCACCCACCCAGGACCTTCATTCCAAATCCAATTTTGAGATTGGCAGTTTGTGCTTCTGCCCTACAGAGATTTCCAGGTTGTTAAACATGCATTTACTGGGCTGGAAAACCGTGACTTTGTTCACTGTCAGGAGGTTATATCTGTGCTTTTCTGACTCCCTAAATATTGGTTTACATAAGCAGTAGCCTTAGTCAACATACAGCAGTAACTTCTTTAGCCTCCTTTCCTAGAGCACAAGTCCCACACTTGCTTCCACTTCCAAGCAGTGAGCCTGACCCAGGAGCTGTATCTTTATCTCCATGGGGCGCTGTTATTTCCCCTTTACCCACAAGCTGAACTCCTAACTACCTCTTCCTCTTCTGGAGATCTGAAGGCCACTGACTCAGACTGCCTATCACTTTGCATTTCTGTTTTATTTTTGATCTTCAGACTTTATTTATTTATTTATTTTAGGTGAGGCTATGTCTTTTTAATTTTCTCTTCTCATATGTGTGTTCTTGTTTCTTTGTTTTTGGAGCAGGGACTGTTTGGTTAAAGAATTGGCCCAAAGCTTGAATTTCCAATGATTTCTTATTTTTTCTTTTAATGTTTGTTATCTGTAACAACATACTCCTCTTGTCTTCAAGAAATCTAAATTCCTTAGTGCTGAGATGGGAATTGTGTTGAATCTATTATGTCTTAAATAATTATGATCTTTTCCCCATACTTAGAGATGCTCCAGTTATGCCAAAATTTTTATTGTAGCAATAATTGATCAAACCAGCACTTACAGTTTTTAGGAATCAGGGAAGATCAAAGACCTAGCATCTTTGCTCCTATTTTTCCTTTTCCTGCATTTGTTAGTTAAGCAAGAAAATACAATATAAGGAAGCAGATAGGGTATAAAATATTAGAGAAACCATCTCCAAGTTTCTCTCTTTTACTGATAAGGTACTTGTCTGGGGTTTTTTTGTTTTGTTTTGTTTTTGTTTTGACTTTCTTCTAAAAAGTTCTGCTGTCTCTAAATATGTAGTGAGGTCTTTCACATGAACTGTTATATGTGACAGGAAGCTTTCAATTACAAGTGACAGAAACTGAACTCTAACTAGCACCATCAAAATGAATTTTTTTCCTCATATAATGGGGAATGATGGATTGATCTAGTCTCAAGGGGCTCAAATTATATAGAAAGAGTCCATCTGTTTTCTTGACTTCTCTCTCTGTGTATTGCACTCATTCTTTCCCATTTAGGGTGACTTTTTCCACATTAGTTTAGGAATGTCTAAGGAGTGTGAGAAATAGTTGCAGGCAACTCCAGGTTTAATTCAGTAAGACTTTAAAAACTCAGAAAAAAGAGGATTTCCCTCCCCCCAGCTTTTGAACATAAAATTCCAGGAAAAGACCATGATTGTCCCAACTTAGGTCACATGCTTGTCTTTGCACAGATCACCCTGGCTAGGTCTTGGTCGTATGCCTGTGCATTTAGGTGGATGCTGGGCTACTATGATTGGTATTCCTGCTAAAAGTTGCATTGTTAGAAGGTAACTAGAAGAAGAAAGGAAGGGATGTCACCAGACATTACATAAACAGATGTCTATTTTATATATATAATCTGTATTTTAACTTTTTATTTTTACAGACAGAAAGAATTTACTTTCAGGTTTTCTTACCTAAGGGGAGCAAAGAAAAGAGCAAACCAATGTTCTTTTGCCACCGATGGAGAATTGGAAAGGTCATAGACTGTGCAGCTTCTCTAGCCAGTCTTAAAAATGACAATAACAAATTAATAGCTAAGGTAACATCTAGCTATAATCATTTCTCTCTAAAAGTTTTAGGATACTCTATACCAGCATGTTTATTCATTCGTATGATTTATTTCTTTCCAAACAGAAATTAAGGTTATGTCATATTCCTTCAGGAGAAGCCTTACCATTGGATCATACTTTGGAAACCTGGATTGCTAAGGAAAATTATCCTTTATATAATGGTGGAAGTATTATCTTGGAATATCTTAGTGATGAAGAACAGTTTTTAAGAAATATTGATTCTTACTTGGAATAGTCATTCAAGGATTCAAGCCAGAAATCACAAGGAAAATGCTATGTATATGTTTTAATTAATATCTTTTACTACAAATACAATGTTTTTTTTTAATTTTTAAAAGTTGCTTTTTAACTTATTTCCATTATGTCATAACTTACATGATCAGATTTCTATTGATTGTGAGTTTTTGTGTTTTAAAGGTTAACTACAAACCGATACTCAATTTTTAGCAAATTTTTGTATTTAATTAGCTTTTATTAGGTTATTCTTTTTTTTTTTTTTTGTCCTTTTTTTTGAGACCGGCCGCACTGCGCTCAGCCAGTGAGCGCTGTGAGCGCACCGGTCATCCCTATATAGGATCCGAACCCGCGGCAGGAGCGCTGCTGCTCCCAGCGCCACACTCTCCCGAGTGCGCCATGGGCTCGGCCCTATTAGGTTATTCTGTAGTAATAACAACAAAGGTGTATTTCCCTTTGGTTAGTGCCAACTGTTGACTAGCTGTGGTTCTGCTCCATGTCATCTTCATTCCAGGATCCCAACTGAAGGAAAAACCTCTTTTGGGGATGTTGCCATTTTTGTGGCAGAGTTAGAAAGAGATGCCAGACATTTCACTTGGCTCTTAGGATGTATCACTTTTGCTTTGAGCAAGTCACATGACAGCCCTAGTATCATGGGGCCAAAAAGTATAGTCTTGCTGTCCACCTACATCATGATGTACAAGTTGATGTGTGTATGTGAATTGTAGAAATTTAGAGATCATGTCATTCAGTCTTCTAAGTTTTTCAATTAGGAGTCTGAGGTCTAAGAAGGTAAAATGATTTTCTTCATTTCACCTGTGTTGGGGCATGTCTCTGATAAAGACTCGCCTCCAGTAGGATTCATCATTTTTGTTTGTATGAAAGTATTACAAATGAGAAGAAAGGTAGGATAGTTCAACTTCATTACAGTCTTTGTATATATACCAAAGCAAAACACATGCCAAAATTAACTACATTTTATCAACAAATTCAAATTAATGCTTCTGACTGATGTTTTCCATCTATACCTAACAAAGTACTACTATATAGAAGGAATAGAAATTATTTCTATTTCTATTTGTTCTTTTTCCCTTTTCTATTGTAATTATTCTGGACGTGTATAATGGCTTTAGATTTAAAGCAATAAAGTCAGAATGCTCATTTAGTCTATTTCATCTCTAATTCTTTCTTCATATTATTTTCATGTGAGGATGGAGATAATTTCTGACTTTTATCAGGTGCGTATATATTCATTCAATATCATACCTGTTTGAGTACCTACTAAATGTAATTTGTTTCTGATTGCCATGGTGGATACAATGAAGAGGTGTGTACATATTTATAACTATAATACCAAGTAGTGTAGAAAGTGCCAAATGAGTAGATAAACAGTAAGTGTAGCTACGTTCCAATAGCTCTTTTATTAGAAACTATAAAATGTTTTAGAGGTAGAAATAATCCTTAAATATATTCCTATATATAAAACCATAAAGTTTTAATACAAAGTAATTCCTTACCATCTGTCACATCTATTGCATATAGTAGGTTATCAACACATGTCTCATGAATTGAACTAAAACTAAATATTCTGAAGATACAGTAACTGTGGGGGTTAAGAAGAGGGGAGGTAAGGCTGGCAGAGATTGAATTAAACATAGGGGGAATGAAGAAGAGTTTCTATTAATGATTAGACAGAAAAGAGACAAAACAGCATGGAGGGAAAGACTTATGTATATCAGTAGGCATACTGCTTGTTAGTTAGGTCAAGTCCCAAACAGTAGAGCAGACTAGTCTGGAGGAGACTTAGGTACTAGCATCTTCAGTGCTAGGGACTGGCAGCTCCAACATGAGTAGTCTCCTAAACAGAACAAGATGTGGGAGAGAGAGAATATGAATCCTTCTAGCTCCCTATTTACAAATTACTCTGAAATCAGACATCTTTCTCAGGCTTTCCTTTAGGGCTTTCAGTTAAATACACTTAATGAAATTTTAGGATTTCACTGTCCCCACCCCACCCTAGTGAATGATTATCAGATTTTCCCCAGGTTTGTCAGGTTTTATTCCCACAGTTTTCAGGTAAGGAGAAGGCTTTGAGAACCTGAAGAGGGGGAAAGGTTGCAGATAGAGGAATCTGAGGGGGAAAAAAATGGCATACTTCACATCTCCGACCTGCACAACAAAAATTGCAAATTAAAGTATTTGGTCACAACTGCAAAGATGGCTTTGGTTTTTTAAAGTTTTTGTTTATATTTGTTTTGTTTTTCGCATGTAAACTAGGAAGTTCCCTGGGAATTTAACTGAAATGTTACTGAAACAGATTAGTTCCTTTCCGTATTCTTACCACTGGTACAGTGTATCTTCTTTTTCTTAATGTGGCACATGAAAATAAAATGTTATGAGATCTAAAGTCTGTTACATTTGAAAGATGAGCCAACGTAAGTAAATTTTTTTAAAACTTGACAAAATTATAAAAATCGCTTTGAAAATTTTTGAGGAGCTAATATGATCTAAAATAATATATACTGCTGTTACAGTTAGCACAGATTGCATCATGATTACATGAAAGATCTCCTGAAAAGGTCATGTGTTCAAAGACTACTATACCTGTAGGCTCAATAATAGACAGTTGTACTGTTTGGGGTTTTTGTTTTTTATTTCATTTTTGGTTTTTGCTGCTTAGCATCAGAATTCCCTCCCCTTGTTTGGAAAATACACAGTTTTGTGAGTCTGTGGGTTGAACTCCCAAAACCCTGATGCTGTTCCTTATCCCTGGCAACTGCGGCATAGACATATGACCTAAATTGTGTCATTTGAATGTCCTTGTTCCTAACTGTAGTGTTACAGAGAAGGAATAAGAGATTAGAATTAATGCCAGTGTCTTTCCATTGCCCCACTGTGTCAAGGTCTAAGTGTTCAGTAGCAGTAGTCCTTTCGCCATGATGTACCTTTGACTCTGGTACCGGCTACCTACTTTCCTTACATTCCCAAGTTATCTGGTAACCATCCAGGAAATTATTTTCCTATGTAAGCACACCAAAAACAATTTCAGTTTTTGCCTGATGGATACAGTCACTTTTTAGAGGTGAAGGAAAACTCTTACCAGCCTAAGGATGCTGCCAAGGCCAGTTTATGGTCTCTGTAGTTTTCTGAATAATGATAATGCGCATTCCGACTAAGCTCCATGAGAACAGACTGCATCTGGCTTGATCGCTGTTGTGTAACCCCTTCTAGCTCAGTGTTCCAGCAAACATGTTCGGTAAGTATTTATTTGACTTTGACTCAAATGAATAAAATAGTGACACTGACCTCCAGGCTTCTTCAATATCTATTTTATATTTTTTGTTTCTGACTGCTTTTAGTGTAAATTTTCCTTAGCAAGGAAGAGAACTAAAAAAATATGACACCAAGATTTTAAATTCAGGTAAATAGAAGGCTGTTTTTTAATTAGCAAAAATGAGGAAGTTAGGGGGAAAGAGATTAGGTTTCTGTTGGGATAAATTGAACCTAAGTGTCATGGCCATGGCTTTTAAATTTTCTTAACCACACGTTAAACAGGTTGTGTCACTTATTAGATAGCTAGGTATTTGTTTGAAAGGTACAACAGTCCCTCCTATTGGACTTTCATCCAGCAAAAACAACTGTTACCTAACTCAAACTCAGACATTCACGGAACACCTCTCCAAAGAATTTTCTTTAGTTTTTCAAAAGCGGTTTTGCATATATGATTTATTTAAGCTTTCAAAATGATTAGAAAACTTTTTATTGTCCTACTTTTGTTGTTTGTGACTCTGGAAGAAGCAAGAAAATCATTTCTCAGTTTTCTGAATTTAGAAAAGACTGAAATACTTTTTTTCACAAAGACTGAAGAAAGCATCACTGTAAGGTCAAGTTACAAAGAGAAACAGCCTAACTCCAGCTACCTCTTTGTACAATTAGAAGATCCTAAAATGCTGCAAGTGGTGAATGTCACCAAGACCACACTGGATATTACAAATTTTACCATAAACCTAGTGACAGAAGAAGAAGGAGAGACAAATTTGACAGTTCAACTCTGGGATTTTGAAGGTAAGCAAGAAAGACTCATTGAAGAAATAAAGAACATCAAAGTCAAAGTGCTCAAACAAACAAAACACAGTCTTTTCCAATCATCGATGCCTATTGATAGAAATATCCTAATGCTTATTTTACCACTGATACTGTTAAATAAGTGTGCATTTGGTTGCAAGGTTGAATTACAAGTGTTTCAAACAGTATGGAAGAGACCTTTACCAATAATTCTTGGAGCAGTTACACAGTTTTTTCTAATGCCATTTTGTGGATTTCTTTTGTCTCAGATTTTGGCATTACCTGAGGTACAAGCTTTTGGATTTGTAATGACCTGCTCATGCCCAGGAGGGGGTGGGGGCTATCTCTTTGCTTTGCTGCTGGAAGGAGATATTACTTTGGCCATTTTGATGACTTGCACATCAACATTATTGGCCCTGATAATGATGCCTGTCAATTCTTTTATATATAGTAGGATATTAGGATCATCAGGTGCGTTTCATAATCCTGTTTTTAAAATCGTGTCAACACTCCTTTTCATACTTATACCAATGTCAGTTGGAATAGTCATCAAGCATAGAATGCCTAAAAAAGCAAACTTCTTAGAGAGAATAATTAGACCTCTGAGTTTAATTTTAATGTTTGTAGGGATTTATTTGACTCTTAGAATGGGATTCACGTTTCTGAAAACAACTAACCTGAAAGTGTTTCTACTGGGTCTTATAGTTCCCGCTTTGGGTTTGTTGTTTGGGTACTCCTTTGCTAAAGTTTGTATGCTGCCTCTCCCTATTTGTAAAACTGTTGCTATCGAAAGTGGGATGTTAAATAGTTTCTTAGCCCTTGCTGTTATTCAGCTCTCTTTTCCACAGTCTAAGGCAGTCTCAGCTTCTGTGGCTCCTTTTACAGTAGCCATGTGTTCTGGATGTGAAATGTTACTAATCCTTCTGGTCTACAAAACTAAGAAAAGATGTATCCGTACTATAGAATATAAAAGAAAAAAATTTTCCCTAGTCTAATAATTAAAGCATTACTGAATACCTACCCTGGAGAGGCACTGTGGGAGATTCAAAGAATGTCTGAAATGGTGTCTACTCTTAAGCCACTGATAATGTAGTTAAAATTCTGACATTGGGTAGAGAATATATATTTATAAAATCATATGTGCTAATGAATGGTACAGAACGTAAAATACACAGGAGTTTAGTGGAAGGAGACAACTTTTCATTTTCTACAGAAAATTGCCTATAGTATCATTTTATCAGTTTCCTCTCCATTCCCAGTGCTACCACCTTTGTTCTGCCTTGTATTGCCTCTTCCCTAAACCTTTTTAAACTGGCTTTTGGCCTCTCTGTCTACCCTCCATTCACTGTGAGATTAATCTTCCTAAACTCTAACTTTGATCATGTAACTTCCCTGCAACGAAACCTTTTTGCCTTAATGTCTGTATTCCTTAGTGAAGCATTTATTATAATCTACCATCTGACCTTAATCTAGCTTTCTAGTTTTATCTCCTTTACACACAGCCTTTGCTCCAATCAAACAGAATGACTTTGTATCTTACAAATATGTCTTTGTTCATGCTAGCCAAACTTTCTTGTCTCACAGCTATTTATATTCCTGTTTTATCCTTTCTATTTTGCTGTAAATCTTTGGGCATGAGAATTATGTTTATTCATTTGGATGCTCCCCGTAATGTCTACCACAATATTTTTTATGAGTTTATTCAAATAAAGTGTTGAAGCACAGACTAGGGCCCAAATGAGTAGTGTGCTTTTTCCTATACCACTTCTGAAATTTCAAAGGGAACTTTTAGTATCTAAGACTAGTCTCCATTTTTCTCCAATAAAAGTATGGACATCAAGAATAGGATATATCAGTCTAAGTAATTCTGTTTAATTTCCTAGCCTAATGGTTGTAGGCAAATTAGCTAATCTTCCTGCAATCTAGTTTCCACATGTAAAGCATGAAGATAATGGTGTCAACTCCATTGCTGTCAGATTGTCCTGGGAATTAAATGAAATCGTATGTGCTTAGAAGAGAGCCTGTTGCATAGTTAAGTGCTCAGTAATCATTAGCTGCTATTATTATTTTATCAGAGTTTAAACTTCTGACCCTAACATATCTGCTGCTGTTTTGAAAATATCAATCTGATAATTATGTATGGAAACTGAAAACTTAACATTTTCCTATCGGCGTTATTTACCATTTCTTGCCCATAGTATTAGGGAATTTTTGTTTATTTTGCCAGATGATATGACAACCAAGGTTCCTTTTTTTCCAATGCCACCAAATCCGGTGTATGAATACAAAGATTTATAAAAGGCCTGGTTTAGTGTGATGGTGGATGGTTATTTGATTTATAAAATAATAATTGCCTATGTGGAATATTTTGCTACTGACTTCTTTAAACAGAAATCTCTACTTAGGGGGTTAAAATATAAGTAAATTTGCACAAATTTATTTACATACATTTTAATGAACATATTTTACTAATTGGGAGACCTGAGACCTACCTTTCTAGTTGAACTTTATCATTAACCATGTGATCTCAACAAAACACTTCTCTGTGTTTCAAACACCGAGGTTTGAGATCTTGCTCAACTATGTAAGTTTGTGATTCTGGGCATAGCACCGTGGGCAGAGTAATGGGGTAAAGTGAAGAAGGTTCAGGTTGATGAGAATAACCACACACTGCTGTTGCTTTCCAATTAGGTGTCGGGGCTCAGAAAACAATACCCCAAATTGAAGACCTAAAACGCAGCCTCAAAAGCAAAGTTTTCCTCTTACTTTCTCCAGCCTCCTGCTCCCCTGAGGCAAGCTACAGAAACTAGAATCATCTTTCCCAAGGCAGGTCATAGAAACCAGAGCCCCTTTCCCCCAATGCCACCCATAAAGACAACAATTATTCTCTAATCTTACCCTTGCCTTTCTGTCTCGGAGCTGGCCATAAAGAAATTTTCTGCCCTACCTTGCCTGATTGTAGGTCATTAGACCTCCATTCCAGAAGGGGTCTTGCTCCATACCTGGGAGGAAGGAATGCTGCACAGAGAGGCTAAGAAGAATCTGAACAGCCAGGCCTTGTTGAGTTTCCCCACTCCAGTCTATTAGCATTATATCATACTTTTTGTCTGATCACATTTCTACATGGCTGTCTCGCTTCATAGAACCTAAGCATAAAAATGGACAGTTTTACGAATGGCCAACAGACATATGAAAAAATGCTTAACATCACTCAGCATTCGGGAAATGCAAATCAAAACCACACTGAGATACCATCTCACCGCAGTTAGGATGGCTAAAATCCAAAAGACTCTGAATGATAAATGCTGGTGAGGTTGCGGAGAAAAAGGAACTCTCATACATTGTTGGTGGGACTGCAAAATGGTGCAGCCTCTATGGAAAATAGTATGGAGGTTCCTCAAACAATTGCAGATAGATCAACCATATGACTCAGCAATCCCACTGCTGGGAATATACCCAGAGGAATGGAAATCATCAAGTCAAAGGTATACCTGTTCTCCAATGTACATCGCAGCACTCTTTACAATAGCTAAGAGTTGGAACCAGCTCAAATGTCCCTCATCAGATGAGTGGATACGGAAAATGTGGTATATCTACACAATGGAATACTACTCTGCTATAAAAAAGAATGAAATACTGCCATTTGCAATGACATGGATGGACCTAGAGAGAATTATATTAAGTGAAACCAGTCAGGCACAGAAAGAGAAATATCACATGTTCTCACTTATTTGTGGGAGCTAAAAATAAATAAATACACAAAAAAACTGGGGGGAGGACAGAAGACACAACAATTACAATTCCTTGAAGTTGATACGACAAGCAAACAGGAAGGACATTGTTGGAAGGGAGCGGGGAGAGGGAGGAGTGGGGGAGGTTTTGGTAATGGGCCACAATAATCAACCACATCTTATATTGACAAAATAAAATAAAATTTGGAATAAATAAATAAACCTAAAAAAGAAAAAAAAATGGACAGTTTTTCCTGTATTTTTGGGTCTTCATTCTAAAGATTCCTTTGTCACATAAAACTATAAGTAAATAGATGCCAGAAGAACCAGAATGTGCGTAAGCATGGGGAAGCAAAAGAAAACAAGGAAGTATGTGACTGAAGTGAATGCTTAGTCTCAGAGATCAGAGGCTTAAAGAAAAGGATAGATTAAAACCGAAAAAGAAAGAAAGACCCCAGGACACTGAAGGAAAGAGAAGTCCCCAACACCCTTTCTGCCTATTCCAATATAATACACAGCTGGGCCTACCTTACCACATCCTGGTTGATACCAACTTTACTGTTTAAGCCAAACTGGACTTAGTGCAGTCAATGGCGGACTGTCTGTATGCCAAGTGTATCCCTTGTATAACTGACTATGTAATGGCTGAAACTGAGAGATTGGGGCAGAAATATCGAGTGGCTCTCAGGATTGCCAAGAATCCAAGAGTTCAATGATTACCATCCACACACAAAGGAACCTATGCAGATGACTGCTTAATACAGAGTGTAACTCAGCACAAGTGTTAGATTGTGGCCACAGTTGACCCTGACCTTAAAGAATCCAGAAGATACCTGGAGTTTCTATCATGTACATTTCTAACCAACATTGAGCAAATGCCAGATGGTTATGGAGCCCCTCGGTTCTAATTCATACAAGACAAACTTCCTCTGCCTTCCTTTGACCAACTCTCTGTCCTGCCAGTTTATTAAACATGCTATAGCATGAATTATTCTGTTCACCTATTAGCTCTATTGTGAGCTGAGTACAGTTAAATACACTCACTTTTTGATGTTGTTTTGAAAGTGAAAAAAACTATAAAAATGTTTATGCCTATTTTTCCTATTAATATGTGTTTGTCAGTTGATTTGTCACTGAAAGTTCATGGCACAGAAGGAGTTTTTCATTTGTCCCCTAAAAAGGCAATAACCAAAATATGAGCTTCCTGAGGGCAGGGACTACAGGCTATCACTGAGCTGCAAATTGTTTATGTAACCTTGATCGTATTTTATCAAAGTACACTTAAACAGTTACTTATTAACTAAGAAAGTTTTGGTATATGGAACCTGAAGTTCTTATTCAAAGAAGTTGCCATTTAAAAGAAGTCAGCTCCAGAGACTAGAGTTAGAAAATGCCCACAATTTCTGGGAAAGTAATCTGGTGGTGGTCCCTCTTTATTATACAAATACAGGGCAATTAGGTACCTATTGTCTACGGGGAGTGATGACCAGACCACTCTGTGGCTTGACAAAAGGCATCCTTCCTCAGACTTCCTCTGTGTACAGTCAGGTATCTAGGAAGTTTCTGAAGGTTTGCTGAAAAATCAACTGACAAGATTAATAAGGGAAAAAAGGCATAATTTATTTAATCATAGTTTTATGTGACACAAGAGCCTTCAGAATAAAGACCCAAAGATATGAGGGCACTTCAAAAAGTTCATGGAAATATTCATATTTTAATTCTATTTTGAGAATTCCAATTTTATGCTTAGGTTCTATGAAGCAGAGACAGCCATGTACAAATGTGATCAGATAAAAAAAAGTATGTTATAATGCTAATAGACTGAGTGGGGAAACTCAACAAGGCCTGGCTGTTCAGATTCTTCTTGGCCTCTCTGTGCAGCATTCCTTCCTCCCAGGTATGGAGCAAGACCCCTTCTGGAATGGGGGTCTAATGACCTACAATCACACAAGGTAGGGCAGAGAATTTCTTTATGGCCAGCTCCAAGACAGAAAAGCAGGGGGGAAGATTAGAGAATAATTAGTGTTTTTATGATAATTAGAATAATTAGTAGTCTTTACTAATAATATAGTCTTTATGGGTCGCTTTGGGGAAAAGGGGTTCTGGTTTCTATGACCCACCTTAGGGAAGAAGGATTCTAGTTTCTGTAGCTTGCCTCAGGGGAGAATGAAGCTGAAAGACAAGAAGGCAGAAGAAACTCAGAGGAAAACTTTGCTTTTGAGGCTGCTGCTTAGGTGTTCACTTTGCATTATCCTCTTCTGAGCCCCAAGAGGGAGTCAGGTGGCAGGCAAGGATATCAAAGGCCTCTTAGAAGAGACTCATCATTAAGGAAGGATGGAACAGTGATGACCAGGACACCATACCAAGGAAAGATTTTGTCCCGGCACAGTGTGTGACTGAGGTGGGAACCTGTCCTCTCACCCTCAGCCTCAGTTGTAACCACCTTGGCACAGCAGATGTTCTTTGGGATTGGAAACAATGGCTGCAGATGTGACTGTAGCTTTAAATACTGCCCCCTTGGAAACGCAAGCACAATGTGTCATGTACTGAGGTCTCTGCAGCCATCTGAACTACTTTCACAGAGGTCCTTTGGATTGTGTGGGGCCAGTTTGCAACACTGCCACAAACAGATCTGACCACTAGACTTCCCTGTGTACTGGCAGTTTTTTTCATTTCACTTTCAGTACGGTATTTGGAAGCAGAGCGGCCTCTTTGGACTGAAAAAAAAAATGAGTTACCTAAGAACAATTGTGAAGTAGCAGCCGAGGCCTCTTGAAAAAAACTGACTTCTTGCTCATTTGATGTAGCTTGAAATGTTTTTAATATTTGATCTTTTATCTGTCTTATTTCAAATTGCTTACATAATTTTAGCAGCTTTGCCAAGTCACTGGTGCAATTCATTTATAAAAGGTTTAAAGATGATTCTTATGACATGTCTGCTAAAGCCTGGAAAATTTTATTTGGTTACAAGTCAACACGTGTCGGCGTGTAGTTGGCAAGATTTTTATTTTAAGATGATTGACAATGAAGAATGAAAAAGCTAGTTTCTAAAGGCTTTTTTCAAATCAAGAAAATAAAAGTATCATTTGATAGACAAACAGAGGTATCCCAATCAGAAACCTAAGACATCATTCTTTTGGAGAATAAAGACAAGTTCTGGCTGTTTGTGAGGTTTGAGAATTGGATCCACAGTTCACATCATTCATCTTTAAGACGTGGTTCATTTGTAACACATTGGTGAGAACATCTTGTCTTTTGATTAAACTAAGGGAAACAATCTCTTCACAAGCAAGAAGCAAAATAACCCACTTTTCTTGTCTTGTTTGTGTCTAGGACATCTTATATCTGTGAATGTTTTTTGCATTATGATGATATATTTACCATGTTGCCACACCTTTCAAGAAGAGGAAACATTCTAAGACCTGTAGACTAGCCTTTGTACCTCGTATAATGCAACCTAGCCTCAGTTTCCCCATCCGTATGATGAAGCTAATCCTGCCTTCCTCGTAGAACTATTGCCACATTTAAGTTATTTTACTTAAATAATGCATATAAATATAATGCATATAAAATATAATGCATATAAAAACCCAATTGCCTGATGCATGCAAAGTGTTCAATAATAGCATCTAAATGAATTATCGAGAATAGGGGCAGTTCGTTCTGGTTATCGATTAAACAACAACAACAACAAAATCCAGTATAGGTTTAGCAAATAAAAGTTACACAACTGGAGTCATATCTCTAATTCGTTTTGTCAAAATGATAGTATGGAATAAAGGAGAGAAAAGGAGAAAGAGAAATAAGAAAACATGAACAATGGAAGACGAAAGAAGGGACGGGAAAATAACGAGGAAAGGAATTTTTTTTTAATTTCGAAAAGAAAGGACAAGCAGGAGAAAAGAAGTTAGCAGAACCCGCGCTGAGAAGGCGGAGAGGCAAGGCAGAAGCCTCCCGGGGGCGCGCCTCGGGACGGGGCTCCAGCAGCGGGGCGGGGCCGGGCAGCCACGCCCCCATCTGGGACAGGACTTAAGGAGGCGGGACTTCCTTTCCGGCGCATCCCCTCTTTCCCCGGAAAAGCTGAGCAGCGGACGACGCCGGGTGCACAGCGAGCAGGACGCCATCCAATCCGAGGTGAGACCCGTGTTACTCCCGCGATCCCTGGACACCCTCTAGCGGGTTTGGTGGGCGCTGCGGGGCTGGGCGGCGCGGAGCGGCCCCTCTCCGGCCGTGGCCGGCGTGGGAGGTCGCGGTCAGCGGTGCTGGGGGTGGCGCCTGGGGGCGGAGGCCGCAGCTGGAGCGACCTCTCTGCCCGGCGGTGCTACCCAGAGCCGCCGCCGAGTGTCACTGGCAACGGTCCAGACGTTGGTGTAGAGGTTTCACCCACGCGATCTCACTGACCCCTTGGGCAGCTTATGTAGAATAATTGCCCCTTGTCATTATACCGACTCCGAAGAAGCTCAGAAAGACCTGGCACATTCCCGGGGTCACGTAGTCACCGTGTAAGTGATGATGTAGCGCTGCTCGGGACAGGTGACAGAGAGGATGGTGATATGGCTCCCACTACCGGGAAGGCTGTGACCAGGACAGAAACAGTTGGAAACGTTTCAGGTTTTTATGACTTTGGGGTAATGAAATTGAATAAAATATGGCCCCTTTCCATAAAGAAATGCACTCAAACTTGAGAAAATATGGCTTGCACACAAATGGCTAAGGTGCAAGAAAGACATTGCTGGGTGTCCTAAGAGGGATATACGAAGTTTTATGGACTCTTCCAGGCAAAGGCTTCCTCTGAGCTTCTTGCATTTCAGGCTAGGACATTCCCAGTTCCCTCCTAGGGAATGTCATTCAGACTCAGGACCTCAGTTGCTGCATATTCCAGTTACTTACATATTTATATTTACAGGCCATACCTCTCCTCTGAACTCGGAATCCATATAAGTTAGCCGTCTAATTAATGTCTCCTTTTGATTTCACAAAGACCCCTCATCCTCTGCTAATTAAACTCTTGAATTCTCAACTTCCTACCCAAATCCCAAATTTGACTCTTTTTTGTAGCTCCCTGTTTTGGTAGATGTCATCATTATCCATTCAGTTGCCAAAGTGGGGAATCTGAGCATTGTTGAACCCTTCCTCTCCCTCATATTCCATGTCCAATCTATTACAAAATCCCCCCAATTTTATCTCCCCAAACAGATTACTCTTGATTCTCTCAACTTCTCTGCTTAGAAAACCGCCCTCCCCAGGTTTCAGCCAACCAATGGTCTCCTCTGAACTACTGCATCCTGAATCTAAATCTCCTAATTCGTCCACCCACACTCACTTTCTGCTCTTCCTTCCACCCTCCAATGCATTCTGTTCAATGAAATCATTCCTCATGGCTCTCAAATCATAACCTAATCTGTAAGGCACAGTAAGGGAAGATCTCTACTACCTCCCTAGCCTTACCCTTCGCGTTGCCCTTGATCTCTGAACTGTCACACTTGGGCCTTTCAGTTACTCTTCATGTACCAGGCATCCTGTAGTTGAGTTAGTTAATGCCTATTCACTTATCCTTCACATCTTGGTTTAATCTTTTCCTTTGGGAAACCTAATCAGATGCCTAAATCCTGGTCAAAGTTTCCCTGTTAAATGTTTCTCATTACACTTCTCTTACTTAGCCTTTACTACATTTATGAGTTTGCATGTAGACTGTGATTTTTTTATTAATATTTGACTCCTGTTTTTCCTCATCACGGTGCAGTGTACAGCATATAATATGTGTTTAGCAAGTATCTGTTGAATGATTAAACAAGTAGTGACTTCTGGGTGGAGAATCCCTAGAAGAGAGGGTAGCTTTTGAAATGAGCCTTGAAGACCTGGTAGGAGTCATATCAGTGCTATTAGAAGGTGGTGGTGCGAGGGGCTTGAGCAAAGTTTCTGGCAAGAAAGCAGATGCACTTTGAGAACATCTAGTTCTGTTAAGACTAGTCAAATGGAATGGGAGTAAGAATGAAAAACTAAGCTTGGAAACAATTCCTCAAGAGCTCTTAGAAGCTACTTATATAACTCCAAAAGTGGCCTCACTTTAAAGAGATGTTAAATGATTATGCCAAGAAGAAAATACAACTAGCAGAAACCGGCTGTATCTGTCCTTGCCCTCCCTTTCTCTCCTCTCCCCTTTGCTGTAATGTGAGGACCACGGATAGGGATAATGTGAGCACTGTGTTTAGGGATAAGTGTGTCAGTTATCCTCAGTTATGAAGAAGACAAAATTAGGGTTGCTTTATAAATGATGCCACATTTTCCGAGTCTGACGACTTAAAAAGCTTCACTGTGCAAGGTACAGATTTTAGAGTATGGTGAGTGGTGAGTTATTTTAGTCATCAGAAGTCAGAGGAAAGTTGGACGGTCCAGAACACAAAATTACGTTGTTTTTCACCCCTGTCTGAAATTCAGGAAAATAAATTTTGTTTTTGCTTTTTACTTTATTTTTTTAGTCCTGGGACTTTCTTACCTCAGAATGTTATAATAGAAAGAGCAGGAAAAAAATCTGAATTGAGTTCAAATTCTGACAGTGTCATCTGTCTATATAACTTTGGCCAAATATCTCATCTCTGAGCCTTAAGTTCTTCATTTTTACAATCTTATCTTTTTTAAAGTCTCATATGTAAAGCACCTAACTGCCTAGCATTCAATTAGTATGTGCACCTTTTCCTACTTCCCTTCAAAGCTTTTATTACAGTATTCCCAGTGTTCTTTCTTATTTTTGCCTTATTCTCCACCCAAACATGCACCTATCTCTTAAAATATTTTTTGTCCTTTCTTCTTTATTCCTCAAACTAATGTTTGTTTTGTTTTTCAATGTGATATGATATGGACACTTTGGGAGATGATTTCATAGAATATTTTTTGTTATGAAAATGTTTCTACAATAGAAGTGAAGTAACTTACATAAAAAATGGTTTTTACTGGGAAAACCCATTTTCCCAAATCTTAGAAAAAAAGTTGAACTTTAGAAAAGGGCAGGGGATGAATCATGAAATGAAAGTCTGTTGCTAATTGAAATACTTTTGTGAACTATTCTATAATTAAGACTTTTAGAGAATTGTAACTACTTCGCACTGATAGGTATTAAATATTTTCAGGAGATGGCTGATCCTTGGCAGGAATGCATGGATTATGCAGTAAACTTAGCAAGACAAGCTGGAGAGGTATGAACTAAAATTTTGTCAGCTATAATATGATGGATATAGACAGTGTATGGTTGCGTTGTTAAATAAAACACATATTTTAATTAATCTACATTTGTTTTCATTTTATTAAACACTTTAAATAGAGTGAATACTCCAATTTTATATCATTAAACTTTTTTTGATGTCAGTTGTGAATCTAAAATAGGATAAAGGATTGTATAATTTTGTATATATAATGTCATAACCATTAAAGACTTATTTTATAGACAATCTTGTAAGAAATTTTTAAGAATATCTTTTAAGAATATCATATAAGACAGAGTGAATGTTTTAAACCATTCGTATGTTTCATCTTTTTGTTTGATTTAAAATTACTTGTGCCTTTTCTGTTTTCTTACCAAAAAATCTTTTTAGGTGGTTCGTGAAGCTCTAAAAAATGAAATGAATGTTATGATTAAAAGTTCTCCCGCTGATTTGGTAACTGCTACTGACCAAAAAATTGAAAAAATGCTTATCTCTTCTATAAAGGAAAAGTATCCATCTCACAGGTATTTCTTTTTTTAATTTCATATGATGAAACAAAGCCTAGGTTGGAGTCAATATACTAGGCAATAATTTTGACTCTAGACACAAAACCTGACTTCAGTTAACTTGAACTGAAAAGGAATTTATTTTGAGGGTGTTGGGTAGCTCAGACAAGAACCATGGGAAGAAGGAAGGCATACTGGGGACACAGGAACCATTGCTTAGGATGCCACTGGTGGCCTAACTCCTGACTCTGGTGGTTTTGAATACTTTCTAACCAACCTTATATTTTTACCTTATTAGCTTAAAATTACAAGTCCTGAGCAGGAACATGTGGTTTCTGAGCTTAGATTGTTCGCCCATGCTCACGCTGCCTGGGATCAGGGAAGAGGGAGTATTTGGATTTCTACATGGTGAGAGGAATGTTCGGATGCTGAGATGCTGATGTGACAGATGTCTGCCATAGATAGACGTGATTTAGAAGTTTGATTTTATTCTGTATATTATAAACTTCTGTATATGCTAAAGTGGCAGTAGCTTTAAGGAGTTTGAGAGAAAATCCTAAAGTCAGAGCTCTCTTACAGGCACAGAAATATAGTAGAAACATTGTCATCATTTTAAAGTTTTAGCACTGTCATTCTGCACTTCTTCCTAGTCATGCCATTGGCCATTCCTGGTGTTTTTAGCCATTGAGAAGAAAAAATGTTTAAAGCTGCAGCTACATATACTTATTCCCAATAAAAAAATTTACAGCTAAGAGAAAAAGAGATAAAAGATGATCATGATAATGATTATTAGGACAGCTCATTGTTGAATAAAGGAAAATAAATAAAAAAGAAAATGGGAAAGAAGAAAACCAATGAACTCAGACACTATTTATGGAATTTACCTAAGATTTATTGCATAGCATGTTTTAGGAAAGCATGTACACACAGTAATTTGGTGGGTGATTTGCTTTATCATTGCCTTATTTAATATTCTCTGTATTAGTTATCTATTACTGCAAAGCATATTACCCTAAAAATTTAGAGCTCCAGACAATGAACATTTGTAATCTCACAGTTTCCTGGGGTTGGAAATAAGAGAATAGCTTAGCTGAATGTTTCTGGCCAAAGTCGCTCATGAAGTTAGTCAAACTCTCAGAGCTGTAGTCATCTCAAGGATGAACTGGGGCTCAAGGATTCTTTCATGATTGTTGGCAGGCTTTAGTTCCTCGTGGGTTGCCTGTTGGCAGCTTCCTTCAGTTCCTCGCCATGTTGTCCTTTTCACAGAGCTGCTCACAACATGGCAGCCCGCTTCTCCCAGAGTAGGGAAGGGCCATTTTGTGAGCTAGTCTCCAAAGTTGTACGCTGTCACTTCCACTTTATTGTATTGGTTAGAAACTAGTCACTAAATTCAACTCACACTCAAGGCAAGGGGTAGTAGGCTTTATCTCTTGAAGGGAGGAGTATTAGAGAATGTGTGGACTACTTTTTAAAATAACCACATTTCCTTAATGCTTTCTCATCTGCAGCAAATGCCCTTTTCAGGTGTGTGTCTGTGCACATGTGTGTGCCTTTATGTACTCTGGTATTGCATTAAAAAATTTGAATTCTGTAATTTTTCTTATGACTTTGATTTGGGAGAAATAAAATAAAGCTTTCTTTTACTAGTCTCTATAGGAAGGAAAAAGGAGCAACAATAGAAAAGTAGTGTATAGACATTTGTTAAGTTTTACAATAAAGTCTGTGTAGCTGAAATGTTATGGTTTGAATATTGTTGAAAGCAATGTAAAAATAAGGAGTTTGTCGTTCTTGCTTTTAGTTTCATTGGTGAGGAATCTGTGGCAGCTGGGGAAAAAAGTGTCTTAACAGACAACCCTACATGGATCATTGACCCCATTGATGGAACAACTAACTTCGTACATAGGTATGTTTTTAAAATTTTAATGTAGTTACTGTTATATATAAACTGGATGGACCTTTAGTGCACTCTGTTGAGGAACATATACACTTTAGAGAATTGTGTAATTTGTTTATGCTTCTTTATTCTAAGAAAGTACATATAAAATGTAATAGTAATTAAAATGTAATACAAAGTGTATTGTGCAGACTTTTTATCAGATATGGAGGAGGTGAAGGAATATTTTCTTTTTAAGTCTATTTATTAATATTACTTTTTTTTTTTTTACATTCTGTGATGTTGTTGCAGAACAGTTGGTGGGAGGGGGAAAGGGGAAGGAAATAGGGTGGGAGGCGAAGGAGGAAGGAGGAGGGGCAGGGTTGAGGCCTGTGGCACCCCCTCATTCCTACATGGGAGACCAGGAGGCTTCCAGCCAGCGGTGGCTTGGTCATTGCTGGGCTGGGTGCAGAAGTCAGAGGGGTGTGGCTGAAGCTCTTGCCCCTGCTACCACCCCTGCACAGGTGCCCAGGGCACTTCCTGCAGCAGCTCAGTGGTCATTGCTGGGCCAGCTGTGGGTGTCAGGGGCGTATGGCCAAGGCCCTTGACCCCCAATGCCCCAGCTTGGGAGAGCCTGGCGTGCTTCCTGTGGTGACTCAGTGTCATCGCTGGGCTTGTTGTGGGTGTTGGGGTTGCCTGGCTGAGGCCCTTGGCCCCCTTCCCTCGGGACTGGTTGCAGGTGTCAGGGGGGCATGGCTGAGGCACTCAGCCCTTTCCCCCCCCTTGGCTTGGTAGGCCAGGGGACTTATGGTCCTTCTAGGTTTTATAGGTGTACTTTAGTGATGAGAGACCTTTACTAGTTAATATCAAACTTTGTCTCTGGTCTGTGGGTGTTCAGTTTTTTCTTTCAGTTCTGTGTTGGATTATTTGCTGTTCCTACCACTTAAACTCTGCACTGGAACTAATTTGTTGTCCTTTGCTTACTTCTAAAGTGGGGGAACTTCCTATGGGGACCAGTACTTTAGCTCTGTGGTTGAGCTAAATTGTTGTTTTGCTGCTGATTCCCTGGGGAAGGCTTTTTGTGTAGCTCAGGTTATAATGGTTGACTTTATAGGTACTTTCAGGACTCATGTGATCCAGTACACCTGGATTGTTTAGAAACTCTGGTCTGGGCCTGAGTCTTTTCAGCAAACTGTACCCCCTGCAGTTCTGTATTCCTGACCAGTGTCCACTGGGTGGTACTGTGCTGATTGGGGGGAAGACCAGCTGTCTTTGCTGTGCCCTAGTGTTCTCCTACTGGGACCATCTCCCCTACTGCCTGTGCTTCAACCACTTCCCATGTTACGGGCCATATGCCGATCCCTTGCAATGACTCACTGGCCTCTGAGTGGCTCCTTTTTTTCAGTTTTCAGCCTTGCTCCTGTGTGGGTCTGTGGGAACCTTGTTAGTAGACTTGCTGGCCTGAGGGCCACCAACGCCCTTTCCTCCTCTGCAGCCTCCAAGCAACTCTATCCAAAGGGCACAACTGCAGCTTTTGCCAGCTCTTGTTCAATGTGCACTCACCAGCTCCAGCCTTAAAGCAGCTGGGGCTCAAAATGGTTGGAGAACTTCTTTCTTTCTCTCATTGTGGCTTCTCCCACCTTCATGCACTCCGTAGGTCTCTCCTCCTCTTCCCCTGAGTTCTAGCGGCCCCTGCTTGGCTGTCATTACTTTTTAATAGTTATAAATTGGTTGATTTGTGGGAGAGTGTGATGCTGGGGACTGTCTATTCTGCCAACTTGACCAGAAGCCAGTGAAGGAATATTAATGTTATGGACTTGTCTTGTTGTAAAGTGCCCTGTTCACTACTCCTTTTCTCACGGTTGGACCATATAAAAATGTAAGCTAGCAACATTGCTGCTTTGAGATCAAGAGATCACTATTGGAATGTTCTGTATATAGAATGAGTTCAGTCCAGGAAAGAAAACAGTGTTAAGAAGCTCATGGGTCTCATACAAACAAAAATTGAGCAAATTCATCATCACTAGACTGGCCCTACAAGAAATCCTAAAGGGAGTCCTATATCTGGAGGTAAAAGGACAATACCTACTCTCCTGAAAACATGCAAAAGCATATAACTCACTGGTAGAGCAGTTACACAAAGGAGAGAGAGAAATTATATCTTATCACTACAGATAACCCCTAAACAGCAAAGACAAATAATGTAAGAGGAAGAAGGATACAAAGGATATGTAAAACAATCGTAAAAGTAACAAATGTCAGAAGTAGGGACACATTTTTCAATAACAACCTTAAATGTGAATGGATTAAATTCCCTATTTAAAAGATAAAGACTGGCTGAATAGGTTAAAAACCAAGACCCAACTATATATTGCCTACAAGAAACTCATTTTACCTGTAAAGACACACACAGTCTATTAATGAAGGGATGGATAAAAATATTGCATACAAATGGAAACCAAAAATGAGCAGGAGTGGCTATACTTATATCAGATAAAATAGACTTTAACCCAAAAAGTATAAAAAGAGACAAAGAAGAGTACTATATAATGATAAAGGGATCAATTCAGCAAGAGGATATAATAATTGTAGACACATATGCACACAACATCAGAGCACCCAGACATATAAAGCAAATATTTTTGGATCTAAAGAGAGAGATAGACCTCAATACAATAATAGTTGGGGACTTCAACAGCCCTCTCTCAGCACTGGACAGATCATCTACACAGAAAGTAAAGAAACATTGGGTTCAAATATCATTATAGATCAAATGTACCTAAAAGACTTTTACAGAACATTTCATTCATCGTCTGCAGAATACACATTCTTCTCACCAGCACATGGAACAGTCTCCAGGACAGATCACAAGTTAGGCCACAAGTCAAATCTCAATAAATTTAAAAATATTGAAATTATATCAAGTGTCTTTTCAGACCAGAGCAGAAGAAACCTAGAAATCAAAAACAAGAGAAACTTTGAGTACTATACAAATACATGGAAATTAAACAACATGCTTCTGAATGACCAATGGTTTAAAAAGGAAATTAAGAAAAAAAATTCCTCAAAACAAATGAAAATAGAAAGAAAACATGCCAAAAACTATGATATACTGCAAAAGCAGTACTAAGAGGGAAACTTATAGCAATATGTGCTTGTATCAAAAAAGTAGAAAGATTTCCAATAAATGACATTTTCTGTGAATCCTTTCAGAGATGTATCATGCCTATAGAAGCATCCTATATGTATGTATGTATATATACATACTAACTCCCTCTTCCCTCCTATTTACACAAATGATTGTATACTATACATGTTCTACATGTTTTTTGGAGGAGGAAGGATGAGACAGTTTATATAAAAATTTCATAAGCACTTATATTATGAAAAGATGAATTTTATTGAAAATAAGTTCTATCTTGATAATTTTGTGTTTTTTTTTTTTAGTTTTCCTTTTGTAGCTGTTTCGATTGGCTTTGTTATAAATAAAAAGGTATGTTGTTTTAAATGTATGGTTGATGAAATGCCTTGCTCTTATTTTTTGAGAAAGAATAAATGTGTCTCCATAAAAAAATTCAGATTTTTCTCTATATTCAATTTTTTGTAATTGCATTATTTTGAATATAAGCTACAGGACTGTTAAAATTTTCGCAATAGATTTTAAGTGAAGAAAATCTAATGTTTTCTGAGAAGCAGGAGTTGTAAGGAGAAATACATACAAGTAACTGATATACAGTTAAGTGTGTAATCATCATTATATGTTGTGATAAAGTCAGATATAATACTTGATATGTAATCTAAAATGGTTCATGGAAGAGGTGGGATTTGAGCTAGGAATGTTTAATAGGTGTCAGTGAAGAGACACATTCAAAGACCAGGAAGTGGCAGAGACCAAACATGGTTGGAAAATGCACAGTAAATTCGGAAACTTAAACATAATTGAATACTTATATCTAAAGTCCCATAGAGTAAAAGCCATGCTATTGCATTTTCTTGCTGTTTGGCTATGTGGTTGGCCAAACAGTGAAGGATGTTTACTAATGTCTTACATAATTGTTCTCACTAATATTCAAAAGGAGTTAAGTGAGCATTTAGCATATACGCAGCCCTGGGCTGTGAGTTGTCCCTGACATTGAACTCACAGTTCAGTGCAAAGTTAGATGTATGAACAGATAAAGATACCATAAAAAAAAAAATACTGTGGAAACACAGAAAATGATGTAACTAATTCTGCACAGAGTGGGTTGAAGAAATCTTTATAACAGAAGGGGTCTTAGAAGTTGGTCATGTGAGTTGGCACTTAGTAAAAAAAGAAAAGGAAAGCATTTTAGTCAAAAAGAACAGCTTGGAGAAGTTGATGAACATGATGAGGATGGGGAACAGTGAGATGTTCATCAAAAGTGGCCAGAGCAGAGGTTGGTGAGGTAAGTGAGTTGTGTCCTTATTGTGAGGCATTGTGGCCAGACCATGTGAGAAAATTTAGATTTTTTTTCTAGGGAGTAGGAAACCAGTAGAGGTTTTTAAGTGGAGAGTGACAGAGTATTTCAGCAATGTAGAGATTATACTGGAGAGTGGGAAATTCTGAACTAAGAAGAGGCAGGTGAGAATAACCAAGGAAATTGCAAAAACAAGAAATGTTCTTAAGATAAAATTTGAAGGAGGGGATTCGTGGGGAAGGAATGGGGTGTAATCAGGCAGTGAGTGATTTTGAGCTCTTTGAACAAGGTTTCTGCAAAACTAAGTTCTGAAGCACAGGTTATTACCTGTGATGATGGGTTTGATGCAAGCCAGAATTACGGGGGGTTGTTGAATTTGTGGACTGGTAAGGACCAACCCATAAGAATATGAAGAGCTAAAAGGGGAGTGGAAGTACAAAAAATAGTCTGAAGTACACAAGTTTTCAGGAATAGGCAGAGAAGGTTTTAAATAGTGATGCTGAGTGGACGACACTGAGTAAGCGAGGCAGGAGAAGCAGGAGAGTACTGCCGGGAGTGTGGCGGTACCACACAAGGTATTGAAGAAGTGTTAATGATGGCCAGCAGGCTCCGATCCTTCAGAAAGGGCATTTGGGCAGTAAGAGTTCACTGGTGATCTCCGTGCAGGAGTTTCAGAAGAATGAGTGATCAGGGCAGAGGCCACATTGAAATGTACTAAGAAGAGGTGAGGGGTAATAAAGTCCAGACTACTTTTTGGCAATGAAAAGAAGGTTTTTCAAGTGTCTTAGTCCATTTGCAATGCTATAACAGAGTACCTGAGACAGGGTAATTTATAATGAATAGAAATTTATTTCTCACAGTTCTGGAGGCTGGGAAGTCTAAGATCAAGGCATTGGCAGGTTTGGTGTCTGGTGAGGCCTTTCTCTTCTTCCAAGATGGTGCCTTGCAGGTTGTGTCCAATGAAGGAGACGAAGGCCGGATCCTCACATGGCAGAAGGTGGAAGGGCCAAGAGAGAGAGCCCTTTCCCGAAAGCCCTTTCATTAAGGCATTAAACCCACCCAAAGGGGTGGAGCCCTCATGGCCTAATCACCGCTTAAAGGCATCACCTCCCAGTACCGTTACATTGGCAATTAAATTTCAACCTGAGTTTTGAAGGAAACAGATATTCAAACTATAACATTAAGAAACTTGGTGAGAGGGTGCCAGAAGAGAAATCTGAGAGAAGAGGGATCAGTTGATGGAGAAGTTTTCCAGAGAATATATGGCAGGGTAGGAATTATAACACAGGAGGAAATGTTCACCTTAGAAAACAGGAAAGATCTGTCTTCAGCTGAGGCAGGAGAGAGAGAGGCAAGGTAGATGCTCTTGGTTAAGTCTAGATGTGGATGGGAAGAGATTCAAGGATTTTAGGCCTGATGGACTCTTTCTCTGTTGAGGCTGAAAATTAGCATTTCAAGTATCCCACAGTTTAGCCATTTGAATCATTATTATTAGTTGGTATACCAGATTTTGTTACTTTCTTAGGGCAAGAAAGTATTGATTTAATGACAAAAAATACTCAGGTTTGGTGAAGGAAACTTTTTTTTATTCTGCAGATAGAATTTGGAGTTGTGTACAGTTGTGTGGAAGATAAGATGTATACTGGCAGGAGAGGAAAAGGTGCCTTTTGTAATGGTCAAAAACTACAGGTTTCACAACAAGGAGGTAAGTTTATCCTCCAATTTCTGATATTGATATTGTGATACTGTGATACTATATACTCATATTGTTTTTTAATGTTCATCTATGGAGTTCTCTTAAGTATTACCGATTCATAAATTCTGTTTATTTCCTCCTTACTTTTTTATTTGGCCTTCAGTTTTGAATGTGGTAGCAGAAGCAGGAAAAGCAAACATAATTGAATAAAACATACGCTCAAGCTCAGTGCTGCACTAGGTGATGGGAACAGGAAGACAAATAAGACTGGCTTCCTACCCTTGTGGAGTTCATGTTTTGTTGTTTCAGCTACTGTATTTCAAATTCTTCGTAGAATTCCTCTGATCTGATGCCACTGGACCAATTATTAGACAATTTTTTAAAAAGTCCATTTAAGCTGGGAATCATTAAAAATAATACATACACATTTTTAATTAGCTAGATGATTGACATTTTAAGTCGTCTTTCTTTGTGACAGCTGATTGAAGTTTTGAGTCACTTTTCTAACCACATCTAACATCTTCCACAGTCTGCACTTTCCGATTCTCTTAAGTTCAACAAGAATTTAACGATACTTGCAAAACAGTCTGAGTTCAGAATCTTTCTAGACTTTTACAGTTTTCCCCCTCAGTCAAACACCTAAGTTGAGAGCAGATTTTTAGTTCATTTCCTTTTCATTGAACTCTAAGACTCAAAAGACTGGGCGGTGCTTCCAAGTTTTGAGATGTTAACAAGTGAAAAACTATGCATCTTAGAACTAAAGGAATACGGTAGCTTTCATAGAAACAACTCTTTCCCTTTTTATAATCATTTTTCACTTTACGTAATATTTAATTAAATTAAGTAACTATTAGAAAGTAGCACAACAGTTATAAACATGCTTGGAACAAACACAGCTGGTGAACATATATACCTCAGCTGGTGGGAAGAGGTGAATTGTGGGCAGTGTTGAGTGTGTCCTGAGCTTGTCACAGTGTTTGAGAGGGAAAATGGAAATCTCTGGATAATCTGTCAAATTGGTAAATGGAGATCAGATAAGAGAGCTACTACTTAATTTTAATTTTAGTTTCATTTTAAATCTATACATAAATTTCTTACTGAATTTAATTTCTAACTTCTACTTTCTTTATGTTCAAGATATTTGTTTCCCATTAAAGGTTTCATACATGCAGGCAATTTGGTTATATTCTGCACTTTTGGGGCAATGGTCTAAGAAGCTGGACTTTTTTTGATGCTTATAAAAACAATCGTTTGGGGATAATAAATTCATCAGCAAAATACTTAAAGACTTTAGAGAGAAACAAATTTGATAAAACTAGGAAAAGGGTAAATGTGTCCTGTTTTATTCTGTTTTACAAGTGTCAAATTTTTTCTAGAATTCTGATTATTAAAATCTAGTGATTATTTAAAACATTTTCTTTTTAGATATTACCAAATCACTCTTGGTGACCGAGTTGGGCTCTTGTAGAACACCAGAGACTGTAAGAATTGTTCTTTCTAATATGGAAAAGCTTTTATGCATTCCCGTTCATGGGTAAGCTCCTTTTTATTTCCTACCTAACAGTTCTAGATAATTTAACATTGTGAATGAATAAATTTTCCTTTAGAAATGAAATTTTTATTAACAGGCATGGAATCGGTACCATTATTCTAATTTTGTAATGTATTTTTGAACCCTTTTTATTTGAAAGTAATTTAAAATTTAACAAAAATTATGGCAATAAAATAGTACAAAGAACAGTAGTATATCCTTAACCCATATTTACCTGTTGTTAACATTTTACCCCATTTGCTTTATCATTCTCTCTCTCTTTCTCTCTGTGGGTATTTTTTTCCCTGAACCATTTTAGAATAAATTATGTACATCATATCTCTTTACTCCTAAATGCTTCAGTTTATTTTCTAAGAATAGTGTTACTCTCTTCCATAACCAAGGTACAGTTATTGACTTCAGAAATATACTTTTTGATCTAATATACTGTCTGTATTCAATTTTGTCAGTCAATCTAATAATGTCCTTTATAGCATCTTCCTTCCTCCAGAGCAGGATTCAGCCTAGGACAGGCATTATATTAAGCTGCCATGTCTCTTTAGCCTCCTCTAATCTAGAATATTTCCACAGCCTCCAAAGTTACTCATTTCTTCTAATTTTTCAAATTATTTGCATAGAGGAATGCAAGGTAGACTCATAATGAATTTCTGATTTCTCTGTATCAGTAGTTATTTCCCTCTTGTCACTTGTTATTTTATGTATTTGTGCTTTTTTTCTTTTCCTATTGATTAAATTACCTAATGGTTTGTCTATTTTGTTTATTTTTTTCAAAGAACCAGGATTTAAATTTATTAATCTGATCTACTGTTTTTCTCTTATTATTTTCATCCTGTACTTTCTTTTGGTTCACCTTGTTTTCTTTTTTTTCCTTTCTGAGTAGAGAATTTATTTTAATTTTTTGATTTTTATTGATATAAGTATTTAGGCTGTGAATTTTTATTTGGTAACTTCTTTCAGTGTATCCCGTAGATTCCATGTATTGTTTTCATGATAAATATTTTTCATAAATTCTGTAATTTGTTTGTGTTTTACCCAAGAGTTGTATTCTTAAATTTCTATAAGGAAAGGCCTTTTTGTTTTTTTTTTTAAATTTCATTTTTAATGTGTAGCTTTATTGCATTGTAATAATTCTACTTTATGGGACTTCCTGATGTCTTCTTCATACCCTAGTCTGTGATCAATTTTTGTGAAAGTTCCCTATGCATTGGGGGGGGGCGTACATTCTCTATTTTCAATATATAGGCAATAGATCTGCCTTATTATATTGTTTTTATTTATTTTTTTGTCTGTCATAATAGTTATACCTTCATTGTATAATTTTAACATTATAAACTATCCTTTGTCCTGTGTCATCCTTTCAGGCTTGAAGTCTCCTTTGACATTAGAATTGTAATTTCTGCTTTCTTATTATTCTTATTTGCCTTTTAAATCTTTGTCTACTCTTTCATTTTTAGTCTTTTTGAATTATTGCATTTTAAGTGTATCTCTTGTATAGGGCGTAGAGTGGAGCTTCACTTTATAAGTCAACTTGAAAATCTTTTTCTTTTAATAGACAAGTTAGGCCTGTTGATTTATTGATATGACTGTTTCGTTTGTTATCAATTCTGTTGCATTATCTTATGTTTTAATTACTGTATTTATTATGGTGTAGTTTATTTGGTGTGCCCTTTCTTTTTTTTTCCCTGTATTTATGAAAGGTTAAGTTTTATTCTAACAGGTTTCTTTGGTGTTAAAACTTTTTATAGTGCCATTAGTACTCTTTTTCTTACCCATTTACTAAAAATTGGAACCTCTGTAAAGTTTCCACCTGTTAACTGTGTAACAGTAAATGATTTTACTCCACTTTTCCCCTTTTCTCTCTCTTTATATCCCATTTTTTAAGTTGCATTCTTTGTACTTTGTTAGAACATATCATTATTACATATTCTTCAGTCATGATTCCTTCTTTGGTCTTAGTGCTGTGTTTGATTTTATAAAATTCTCGAAGTCCTTTTGTAAAATTTTCCAGTCATGTTTTGATTGGATGAAGCTCATCCTCTAGGAGATTTCTTGGGGAAGGCACATGTGCATAGTATTCCCTGAGTTTGGTATATTCTAAACTGTTTTTGTGTGGCCTTGAAACATGAAGGACAGCTTGGCTGGATATATATCCTTAATGAAAAAGTATGAACTAAATTTCTTGAAAATGCTATTTCACTGTTGCTTTGCTTTGTATGTTTTTGAGAAGTCTGATGCCAATCTAATTTCCTTAGTTTTTTTTTTTTTGTTTGTTTGTTTGTTTTTTGTTTTCTGGCAGCTGGCCAGTATGGGATTCAAACCCTTGACCTTGTTGTTAACCAACATCATACTCTAACCAAGTGAGCTAACTAGCCAGCCCCATTTTCTTGGTTTTTAAATTATTTTATCTTTTACATGAAGACTGTGAGAATTTTTTTTTCCCCTTAATTTTAAAAGACTAATAGGTTTACAAATATTTAAGAATTGCTCATTCTGGGTCAATTTTCTTCTTCAGTGTGTAGATTTATGTGTTTTTTATTTCTGGAAAGTTTTCTTGAGTTATCGTTTTAAATATCAGTTCACTTCCATTTCATTTTCTTCTTCAAAGACACCCATGGGAATGTTCAACTTCCTTTCTGTCCTCCATTTCTGCCACTTTCTGCCCCTTTTTTACTTCTTTCTTTTATTGTTTTTCTTGATTTCCCTTTTTTAGGCATCTGTTCTCCTCTGGGCACCTTGTTAAATTTATTCTTCATCATATCATTTTGTCTGTTTTTCCCCATTTCTTTTCTGAGTTCAATAATCATCTCATTTTATTTTTTTATTTTTTGGTCCATTCTCTGAGTTCCTGTATTTCTGATTTAACCCTTTTCCCCCCATATTCACAAGTCTTTGTTTGAAGATATTTAATTCAGATTTTCTTCTGCTTAATTGTTGATTTTTGGGGGAGTCTTTATCAGCCAAAAAAAAAATTTATTAGCAATATCTGATACTTTCCAGTAGTTTGAGTGGATGTGGTCTACTTTTTAAAATTTCTGTACATTTTGTGATCAGTGTTCCTGGTTTCAGAGCTCCTTATTTTGCCAGTTCTGCCCTTCTGTGCATTTTCTTTTATGAATATCTGTTAAGTGGTGGTGGGGAGGTGGGGTTGGCATGTCTTGTTTCTCTTCTATTTCTGCAGGATCCTTAATTTTCCATTAGTAATTCCTACTTTTCCTTTATTTCTTTGTCTCCAAGAGGGTACCCCCTCTTCTTTCTTATCTGATTCTTCTCCAGAATTACAGCTTCCCTAAGGCTGCTGAGTCAGGTTCTGCATATATTTCAGCTCCTTCTCTGTAGTCACGACTGCGAATTATCAAGTCCTGATCTGTGTTCGGTATTTTTGCATTTATTATCTCACTTTCTCTTTCCAAGAGTGATTTTGTCTGTGGTCCCTGTGGGTCCTCTGTTCCTCTCTGCTTTTTGTCGTAAAGTCTTTTCTGCCTCTTCTCCCCCATTGTTTGCATCCAAGGGCTTGTGGTGCTCTATTAGAATTGGTTTGTTTATTTTTCCTTATATTTACAGATAGTTTAAGAGTGTGTTTTCTGATTCCTAGAAATGCTGAAGGAATGGGTCCTGTAGGTTTTATTTGTCCTCCTTCTTGATTTAATTTCATTTTTCTAGGAGAGAATGATAGGGAATTCAAAATCAGGATGGTGCTATTATTCTCCAAACCTCAGAGTTCTTCTATAAAGAGTTTGATAAGTGAAGAAAGTAAAAGCAAATATTTGTCCTTACATTTATCCTTAAATTTTCAAGAAAAACCAGAAGTTCGAGGTCCTTAAATTTAATATAGCTAATGGCTATATTAAATAGCATTTCTCTGACCTTTATTGTAGTTGTTTGCATAAAAAATCCTAATATACAAAACTGTTGAATAGCAACAGACTTTTATGATTTTATTTCACCACCAACTGTTCCTACATTTTTCTGAAAATATTGTCACCGAGTTATAAAATTCTTAGAACTGATTAAAGATCATCTAATAATCCAGCCTTATTTTGTAGGTGAGTTGAGTGTAGTTCAGAGAGGTGAAGTGGCTGCTTAAGATCACACAGCTAGATGGTGACATGACTAGAACCCTGGCTTCCAGATCATTTCTCTTTTTGCAATATTAGACTTCTCTTTTAAGAGTCAGGACATTCAAAGTATAGTTTGACCATTATACAAACTATAATTATGGGCTGTAAATCTGTGGTCTAGATAAAGTAAGAGAGAGTGTCACTATCAAGTAGCTATAGAAACTCCCAGAATGATGTCCTTGACGGAAGAGCAATAAGATTAGAAAACCTGCTGCTACAGTGCTGTTTGGAACCAAGGACTTTTAACCATGGGCAATAAAATGTTATGTTAGCCATAAAAAAGCTACAAGTGGTTTACAACTTTAACCTTTTATTTTGCCATTGGCTGAAGTAAAAAGTATAACCAGGAAAATGTTACCAAGGAGAAGTACTAATTTATTGGTTTCTTTTTATGATCTTTTGCAATCAGCTGATTCTTCTGTTTTTCAGTATGATTTCAGAATTACTTATACGAAACAAAATGCAACTAAAAGTTATAATCTGAATGAATGCTTTAAACAAATAGAAGCAGACTGATAACTTCCTAACTAGGAAATAACATTTATGAGACAAAGTAAATTATTGTGGGTCCATTTCCTTTGTTTAAATTTTGGGAATTCATTTAGATGAAATGCACTATGTCTGTTATATTATGCTTTCTGGCATCATGGTTTAGACAATAATTACATTATAAACATAGCTAAATTTTATTAAGGATATATACGCTAGGTACTCTGTGGGGTGCTTCGTATATATCATTTTTAATTATTACAGTAGTGGTGAAAAATAAGATAGTATCCCCATTTGATGACAAGAAAGCTAAAACTCAAAGAAACTTTTTCAAGATTATAGGTTTAAGCAGCTGAGCAGGGGGGCAAACTCAAATCTTTGTGACACCAAAGATAGTCATTTTTGCTCTGAGCTATACTAACTCTGTTGGAAGATCAGACTAAGATAGGATTCAGAACACAGTACAGAATCTAGACCATGGCCTTAATTACCTATTATTAAGTGATATTTTTGTTAATCTTTTAGTGATACTTGTCTACAAAAGAATATTCTCTTTCTGACTACAAGACCCCTTTCCTGAGAGCCCGTGATACTCATTAAAAGTAGACAGAAGCATTGCTAGTAGTATTACTGCTGTTCTTCCAGCCTGGGATTCTATCTCTGGATAGAAATACCAAGGGGTTACTTGTGAAAGATCTTGGTAGTTGCTTTCTATAACATGAGAAATGAACTATTACATATCCCATGTGAAAAGGGAGAAAAACACATCTTTCTTTATAAACTAAAAATAGCCACTAAAGTTAATCTGATTTATTTATTTGGGAAACAAACATCTGTGGAAATTTGTTGCACTTGCTAGTTCTTTCTTACATTTAATGTGCAGAACGAACATAGGCAGGCAAACATATTCCAAATCAAAGACATCATGTCATTCTAATCCTCTTCTTAAAAAATGCTTTGGTATAAAGGATGCACTCAGGTGCAATATTTTCTACTTTTATATTTTAGATACAAAACAAATACCACATTAGTCATCAATTTCCCATTATATTTTAAATAATAAACTGTGAAAGATCTCAGTAAACAGAACTCACTCCTTATTTCCAGAAGATTAAACATTACAAAAGGAGCTTGAGGAAAATACATTTGAAAGTAACTTGTAGACATGATGACCCCTTTCTCCCAAATACACACTTCAGTGTGTATTTCTTCAATAAAAGGAACATTCTCAAACATAACTACAGTACAATTATAAAAATCAGGGAATTAACATTGATATATAACCTAATATAAAGAACTTTATTCAAATTTTGAAAAAATTCTAACCCATGATCCAACCCAAGGTCATGCATTGCATTTAGTTGTAATTTCTCATCAGTTTCCTTTAATTTAGAGCAGTTGCTTAGTCTTTCTTTGTCTTTTATGACCTTGACATTTTTGAAAAGTATAGGCCAGTTATTTTGCAGTATATCTCTTGATTTGGGTTTGTCTGCTTTCCTCATGATTATGTTTGGATTATGCATTTTTGGTAGGAATGCCACAGAAGTAATGTTCTGTTCTTCTCAGTGCACATGATATCAGAAGGCACATGATACCTTTTTGTCCCATTATGGGTGATACTAACTTTAATCATTTGGTAACAGTCAATCATTGTAAAGGTGCTATTTTTCCCACTGTAATTACTTCATATCTGGTTGGGAGATACTTTGATACCTTCTAAATATCAAACTTTTACCCACTCATTTTAGCATTTATTGATGATTCTTTCTTGAATCATTTGTTACTACAGGTTGAGCATGCCTAATCCAAAATTCTAAATGCTCCAAAATCCATACTTTTTTGAGTGCCATCATTGTGCTCAAAGGAAATGCTCACTGGAGGATTTTGGATTTATGGATTAGAGATGCTCAACCAGTAAGTATAATACAAATATTCCATAATCAAAAAAAAGACATTACAGGGATACTCAAGCTATATAATGACTATCAAATAGTAGCCATATTTATCTTGGTATATTTCCAAGGAAGAGTTGCTATGAGAAGGCAAACATGAAGTCATCTTCCAAGGCAAGCTTACGTCTATGCAGAAGCCAGGCATGCTGTATTCCTTTAGGCACATTTATGGTGAATAGCCAGTTGGGAATGATCAATAACATGATATTTTATGCTACCTAGAGACTATTTGCATTGTGGTAAGTGTGCGTATGTGTGTGTTTATGTATAGTAATGTAAGCCGTAATGCCTGGGTTTAGACAAATATGAATATACATTCATGCCATTATAGTAAAATTATGGCCTTTTCTGCCATGTTTTTTTTTCCTTAAAAATCATTGTATTAATGTTTATCTTATTACAAATGATTGCTTTATGAGAATTAGTTTTGTGATTTATGTAGTATACCCTGATAGTTAGATTTTACGTATTTTTATTTTAAAATTAGATACCACCTTCTTTTATAGTTATCGTCTAGATTGGGCCAAGTTATCTCAATCAACACTTAAATAGAAGTTAAGGAAGAATCTCTTATTTGAAAGGATGATTTTTTCTAATCTTATTTATTTATTTTTTTTTGTCTTTTGTCTTTTTCCGTGTCCGGCAACGGATCGCAACTCTCAGTGTTGCCCCCGTACCGGACCGGGGACCGGCAATGGGATTGCAACCCTCAGTGTTGCTCCCGCGCCTCGCTCAGCCAGTGAGCGGGAACCGGTCTGTATGTGGGATCCGAACACTCGGGCGGGAGCGCCGCCGCGCTTCCCAAGCGGCGCACTTATCCAGTGTGCCACCGGGCCGGCCCTCTAATCTTATTTTTTAATGCTATTTATTAGGATCCGTGGTGTTGGAACAGCAGCTGTTAATATGTGCCTTGTGGCAACTGGAGGAGCAGATGCATATTATGAAATGGGAATTCACTGCTGGGATATGGCAGGAGCTGCCATTATTGTTACAGAAGCTGGTGGAGTACTAATGGACATAACAGGTAAAATTATGAGACAATAAAGCAGTTTTCTCTTCACATCTGTTGGATTTTCCTCCATATGTATTTTGTTATTAATTAATTTATTTATTACAAATATTCATTAGATACAAAGCTGATTGTCCCCCCTCCTGCCCATTATGTGAGGGTCAGATTCATACTGGGGCATACCCATTACCAGAAATTACTTTTGTACCCTTTGTCCCCTCCTAATTATCCCCCAACATCCCTCCTCCTCCCTTTTTCCCCTCCACTACAATTTGTAGCTCTAGGAATGTTCCCTCCCTCTGTTGGATCACGGCACTTACTGTGGTCTTTCTTTCCTGCCTTCCTTTCTCTCTTAGCTCCCACATATGAGTTAGCACATGCGGTATTTATCCCTCTGCTTTGCTTGTTTCACTCAACGTAAGTTTTTCCAGGTTCATCCATGTTGTTGCAAATGGGAGTATTTCATTCTTTTTTATGGCGAAGTAGTATTCCATAGTATATATATACCACAGTTTCCTTATCCAATCATCTATTGATGGACATTTAGGTTGGTTCCATGTCTCAGCTATTGTAACAGAGCTGCAATAAACATGGGAGTGCAGGTATCTCTTCGACGTGATGATTTCCATTCCTCTGGATATATACCCCGAAGAGGGATTGCTGGATCATATGGAAGATCTATCTGTAGTTGTTTGAGAAACCTCCAAATTATTTTCCAAAGTGGTTGTACAAATTTACAGTCCCACCAACAGTGCAGTAGTGTTCACTTCTCTCCACACCCTTGTCAGCTTTTGTTATTTACTGTCTTTTTGATTATGGCCAATCTAACTGGAGTGAGGTGGTATCTCAATGTGGTTTTAATATGCATTTCCTTGATGACTGATGATGTTGAGCATTTTTTCATGTATCTGTTAGCCATTTGTATGTCTTCCTTTGAAAAATGTCTATTCAGCTCCTTTGCCCATTTTTAAATTGGGTCATTTATTTTTTTACTGTATAATTGCTTGAGTTCTATGTATATTCTGGATATTAGTCCCTTGTCGGATGCACAGTTGGCAAAAATTTTCTCCCACTCTGTAGGTTGTCTTTTCCCTCCGTTGATTGTTTCTTTAGCTGTGCAGAAACTTTTTAGTTTGATATAGTCCCATTTGTTGTTGCTTGTGCTTTTGGGCTCATGTTCATAAAGCCTGTGCCCCAACCTAACTGATGAAGTGTTTCACCTATATTTTCCCTTAGTAATTTTACAGTTTTGGGTCTTATACCTAGGTCTTTAATCCTTTTTTTTTGTCCTTTTTGAGATCGGCCGCACCGCGCTCAGCCAGTGAGCGCTGTGAGCGCACCAGTCATCCCTATATAGGATCCGAACCCATGGTGGGAGCGCTGCTGCGCTTCCAGCCTGCACTCTCCCGAGTGTGCCACGGGCTGGGCCCTCTTTAATCCCTTTTGAGTTGGTTTTACTGTAATGGTGAGAGATGCATATCTAGTTTCATTTTTCCGCATATGGATATCCAGTTGAAGAGGCAGTCTTTTCCAAAATGTAGATTTTTGTTGCCTTTGTCTAATATCAGATGTCTATAAGCCTGAGGAGTGATTTCTTTTTTGTTTTGTTTTGTTTTTTTTCGTGTCCGGCAACGGATCGCAACCCTCAGTGTCGCGCCCGTACTGGACCAGGACTTTTTTTTTTTTGCTCACGATTGCTTTGGCTATTTGGGGTCTTTTGTTTTTCTGTATGAAAGGTAAGATTGTTTTCTTCATTTCTGTGAAGAATGTCATTGGTATTTTGATGGGGATTGCATTAAATCTGTAGATCACTTTGGGTAGTATAGACATTTTCAGAATGTTAATTCTTCCAGTCCAAGAGCATGGAATATCTTTCCATCTTTTTGTGTCTTCTTTAACTTCTTTCAGAAGTGGTTTTTCATTCTCATTGTAGAGGTCTTTCACCTCCTTGGTTAAATTGATCCCTAGGTATCATATTGTTTTGGTGACAATTGTAAGTGGGCTTACTTTATTTCTCTTTCTGTTAATTCATTATTTGAGTATATAAATGCTACTGATTTGGGGGCATTTATTTTGTATCCTGCAACATTACTGAAGTTATTAACCAGCTCTATGAGTTTTTTGGTAGAGTCTTTAGATTTTTCTATATATAGTATTATGTCATCTGCAAATAGGGAAAGTTTGACTTCATCTTTTCCAATCTGGATTCACTTTATCTCTTTCTCTTGTCTGATTGCTCTAGCTAGTACCTCCAATACTATGTTGAATAGAAGTGGTGAGAGTGGACATCCTTGTCTTGTTCCTGTCCTTAAGGGGAAAGCCTTCAATTTTTCCCCATTCAGAATAATACTGGCGGTGGGCTTGTCGTAAGTGGCTTTTATTATGTTGACATATTTTCCTTCTATACCTAATTTGTTGAGAGTCTTTAACATGAAGGAATGTTGAATGTTGTCAAATGCTTTTTTAGCATCTATTGAGATAATCATATGGTCTTTGTCCTTGAGCTTGTTGATGTGATGTATCACATTTATTGACTTTTGTGTGTTGAATCATCTTTGCATTCCTGGGATGAATCCCACTTGATCACAGTGTATAATTTTTTAATATGTTACTGTACTCTAATTGCTAATATTTTGTTGAGGATTTTAGCATCTAGATTCATCAAGGATATTGGCCTGTAATTTTTTTTGTTGTGCCTTTATCTGGTTTTGGTATCAGAGTTATGTTGGCCTCATAGAATGAGTTTGGGAGAGTAGCATCTGTTTCAATTGTTTGGAATAGTTTCATGATAATTGGTATTAACTCCTCTTTAAAAGTTTGATAGAATTCAGCTGTAAAGCTATCCAGACCCAGACTTTTTTTGTTGGAAGATTGCTAATTACCACTTCTATCTCCTTGCTTGTTATTGGTCTGTTCAGGTTTTCTATCTCTTCTTGGTTCAGTCTTGGTAATTTATATGTGTCTAGAAACTTATCCATATATTCCAGATTTTCACCCCCCCCCCCCTACAGTTGTTTATAATAGTCTCTAATGATTATTTGTATTTCTGTGGTATCAGTTGTAATGTCTCTCTTTTCATTTCCAATTTTTGTTATTTGGATCTTCTCTCTCCTTTTTTTTTTGTTAATCTAGCTAATGGTGTGTCTATTTTGTTTATCTACTCAAAAAACCAACATTTAGTTTTGTTGATCTTTTCTATTGTTTTTTGGGTCTCTATTTCATTTAGTTCTGCTCTGATATTAATTATTTCTTTCCATCTACTGCCTTTAGGTTTGGATTGTTGTTGTTTTTCAAGTTCTTTGCGGCATAGTGTTAGGTCGTTATTTGAAGTCTTTCCATTTTTTTGATATTAGCATTTACTGCAATAAATTTGCCTTTTAGTACTGCTTTTGAAGTATCCCACAAGTTTTGGTATGATGTATCTTTATTTTCATTAGTTTCTAGAAATTTTATTTCCTGTTTAATTTCTTCTTGAGGTCACTCAGGAGCCTGTTATTTATTTTCCATGTATTTGTATAGCTTGCAGTGTTTTGCTTATTGTTTATCTCCAGTTTTAGTCCATTTTGGTCTACAAAGATTGTTGGAATGATTTCAATGTTTTTAATTTTGCTGAGACTAGATTTGTGACCTAATATGTGGTCTATCCTGGAGAATGTACCGTGAGCTGATGAGAAGAAAGTGCATTCTTTAGCTGTTGGGTGAAATATTCTGTGTATATCTGCCAAGTCCAGTTGGTCTAGGGTGTAGATTAAATCCTGTGTCTCTTTGTTGATTTGTTGCCTGGAAGTCCTGTCTCATACTGAGAGAGGGGTGTTGAGATCACCCACTATTAACATATTAGGGCCTATCTCCTTCTTTAGGTCTAAGAGTGTTTGCTTGATATGTCTGGGTGCTCCAGTGTTGGGTGCATACATGTTCATGATTGTTATGTCTTATAGCTGGATAGTTCCCTTTATCATTATATAATAGCCTTTGTCTGTTTTTAAATGTTTTTTGGCTTAAAGTCTGTTTTGTCTGATATAAGAATAGCTACTCCTATTCATTTTGGTTTCCATTTGCATGGTATATCTTTTTCTACTCCTTCACTTTTAGTCTATGAGTGTCTTTACAGGTGAGGTGGGTCTCTTGAAGACAGCATGTACTTGGGTCTAACCTTTTAATCCATTTAGTTAGTCTGTGTCTTTTGAATGGGGAGTTTAGTCCATTCACATTTAGAGTAGTTATTGAGAAGTGTTGTTTAATTCCTGTAATTTAATTGCTACTTGTTTAGGTGGTTTATATAACTTTTGATCATTATTTCCCCTTTTGTTTCTCTTCCTCAATGTGAGTTGGGAATTTAAGGCGGAATGATTTAGCTTCTTTCTCTTTCTTGATGGCATTTTTGTTTAAACTGTGGGTTTTCCTCTTTCTCGTGTATTTGTGATGGTGGTCACCATTATTCAGATTCCAGATGAATGACTCCCTTGAGAATTTCTTGCAGGGCTGGTCATGTGGTGGTGAACTCCCACAACTTTTGTTTGTCTGGGAAATACACTATTTCTCTCTCGTTTCTGAAGGAGAGCCTTGCTGGGTAAAGAATTCTTGGCTGGCAGATTTTCTTTTTTTCAATATTTTGAATATATCATCCCACTTTCTTCTGGCCTGTAGGGTTTTGGTTAAGAAGTCTGCTGTTATTTTGATGGAGGTTCCCCTATAAGTGACCTGACACTTTTCTCTTGCTGCTTGTAGAATTCTCTCTTTGTCTTTGAGCTTTGCAAATTTAACTATAATATGTCTTGGGGAGGATCTTTTTGGGTTGAATCTGTTTGGGGACCTTTGAGCTTCCTAGATCTGAAGATCTGTATCTCGCCCTATACCTGGGAAGTTTTCTGTTACTATTTCCTTGAGTAGGTTTTCAATACCTTTTCTTTTCTCCTTCCTTTCAGGAATACTCATAATTCAAATGTTAGAGCACTTGAGGTTGTCTGCTATCTCTCTTAGGTTTTCCTCATTATTTTTAATTCTTTTTTCCTTTTTTTTTTTTTTTTTGTCTGCCTGACTTATTTCAAAAAGACCATCTTCAGGCTCTGAAATTCTTTCTTCTGCTTGCTCTACCCTGCTGCTCAAGCTCTCAGTTGTGTTTTTTATCTCATTGAATGAGTCTTTCATTTCTAGAAGTTCTCCTACACTCTTTTTTATGGAATTACTCTTTGTAGATTTCCTCCTTCATATTCTGGATGTTTTTTCTTGTTTCATTGTATTTTCTAATTGAGTCTTCCTTTATTCTAGTTTTCTTAAGATCATTGCTCAAAATTCTTTTTCAGACATTTCAAGGATTCCCTGTTCCACGAGGGACATGACTATATCCTTTCAGTTGTGTCATTTCTTCTTGATTGTTTGTACTTCTAGTATTTTTTCGCTGATGCTTGGTCATTTGGAAGGGGATTTGCTTCTCCTTTTACATTGAGGTTGGCTGTGGAGTGGCCCTGGTTGCTACTGTGGGGGGTGAATTGTCTTTGCTTGACAGTAGGTGTGGCGGTAGTTATGTTAAACCACCTTCGGGACTCTGTTCCCGTTGGAGACTCTGTGGTCATAAAATGAGCCCCTAGCACCGTGGAGTTCTGCTGGGCCAAACTCGGTGGGTCGGATCCATAGGCTGGTGCTCCCCACTAGGTCTGACGCTGGGTGAGGGGCTGCATCCAGCCATGCAGTTCCACTGGCTGATGTTGCTGCCTGCTGCCACTGGTGGGTTCACCTGCATGCTGCCAGTTTAGGGTGTGGGGGCGGGGCCTGGAGCTTCCCATATGTGGGTTTTTTAAAAAATGTTTGATATATGTTATACTTCAGCTTTTAAAACAAAAACAAACTATGATTTTCTGTGAAATCAAGATAAACATTAGGAGATATAAGTAAGAATAAGAGCCAATGGTAATGTGGGACTGATAATGATAAATGGCTAAGCCTCTTCAAAAGTGAATATCAGGAATTAACGAAAGGCTATTGAGAAGTTCTAGATAGTCACTGAGTCTGAGGTTGGTACCAAGAACTCTCTGGATGGTGACTATGGTGGTAGTTGACATAGACTTCCTCCACTATTGCCCTCTGTCTTGGGCCTAGAGAAATTAAATACTTGCTTTGAGTGGATGGTGAAATTTTAAAGTGAAGAGTGAACCTGGGTTCAAAGAATTCTTTTGTGATCTGGAAGAAAGGCAAGGAAGAAATAAGGAAATGGGAAGGACAGTGGTATGAAAGTGCACCGGAGTTAGATTTTCTGTCCATAGATTCTCAAACAATAAAGAGGTAGTAAGGAGTGCGCAAGAGAAGAATTAGAAAGAGAAAAGATATTTTTCAGAATGATGTGAGTTGAGATTCTCTCCCACTCACTGCAGCAAGTATTTACTCAAAAAAAGATGCTTAGAAAATCAGTTATATACTGCCAAAGCTTAAACATTGTAGTTATGTGACAGCATGGATTTTTTTTAAGAAAATTGAAAGTATTAAAACATTAAGATTGACCGTGGTACATATTGCTGTACTTGTTTTATATGGATTGTTTTTGTATGAGATATAACCGTTTCCTTATTTGATTTGACTTTAGGTGGACCATTTGATTTGATGTCACGAAGAATAATTGCTGCAAGTAACAGAACATTAGCAGAAAGGATAGCCAAAGAAATCCAGATAGTACCTTTGCAAAGAGATGATGAAGACTAATTGCAACAGCCTCATATTCAATCATAATTGCTTTTTCCCAGATTTGCTGACACTCATCTTTGATGTCCAAATTAAAAAATTGGAAATTATTCCATATTTTATTAAGACTAGGTATGCAAGAATAGATGTAATGTTTGTTTTAAAAAATTTTGTGTTAAGAACATACTTTGGGAAGAATACACTAGAAGTACAGTTTATGAGATAAGTATTACATTAGCTGAAATAGTTAGAATTTTGCATTCTAAGTCCTCTGAAATTTTGACTTACTATTTATATACATAAACATTCAGGTGGAAAGTTACCTTTTCGGGAAAAATTTTGTTTGGTTCCAAAAGCCATATTTAATTACATTTGTAAGGATATAACAAGTACTTACTAGACTAAGGTTTCCCTCTTTGCAGAGAACCTTATTTGGTTTTTTCATCAGTGTACACAGAGCACCTAGCACAATACCTGTCAAATTGTAGGCGATCTTAAAATAAATATTGTAAGAAGGAATATTTCAAAGGGAGCAATACCTAGTTATAATCGATACATAAAGTAATGAGCTCACTATTTTGTATTTTTGCTTCAGGCTTTGAAGTAAAAATTATCTAGTTACCCTTTTTGCATTTCATGTTACCATGCCATTTCACATAACCATACTGCCAGACAGCATTGCTTATTATGGGCATTTCTAAAATTAATATAGTATTTTTTCAAATGCACTGTATTACAGTATATGTTTGGGTTTGCTTTAAAGTCCCTGTGTAAGAGAGAAGAAAATGTTTCCAGAAGGCACTCTCATCAGGTATCTAAGTAGATAAAGTATAACATTTTACTAAGTTCAGCATTCACATTTTAAAGATGTTTACACTGATTTGGTTATGCTAGCAAAGATACTCTACTGTTAATATTGAACTATTTGGTTTCTTTCCAAACTCCTTATTTAACTTGGTTGCTGCTGGATTCTGTTCAACCTTTAAATATTCCTTAATAGTCCTTGCCTATCAAACTCAAAAAGAATTGTACCAGTTCATAGACATTTTTAAAGGATTAATTTAATGTTTAGCCTTGTTGCTTGGCACACGAGCAAACTATTAAGTTTTGTTACAGCCTTGTGTTTGTTCAAATGAAAAGTACTTCTATAAAGTTTTCAAGGTAGGAGGTTATTTTATTGTTGTGATTTGAATATTATAATTACTGTATTTGTACTGTTCATTGTGCACACTGAAAACGTCTCATACTGTTCTAAGACAAATTGTTTTTGCAATTAAATTTATTTTAATTAAGAAACTATCATATGAATACGATTTTAAATAAAAAGTATGATTGATATTTACATCATTAAAGTTTATAATTTGAGGGCCGAGCCCGTGGTGGCGCACTCGGGAGAGTGCGGCGCTGGGAGCGCAGCAGCGCTTCCGCCGCAGGTTCGGATCCTATATAGGGATGGCCGGTGTGCTCACTGGCTGAGCGCGGTGTAGCCGGTCTCAAAAAAAGGATAAAAAAAAAAAAAAAGTTTATAATTTGAGGGCCGAGCCCGTGGTGGCGCACTCGGGAGAGTGCGGCGCTGGGAGCGCAGCAGCGCTTCCGCCGCAGGTTCGGATCCTATATAGGGATGGCCGGTGTGCTCACTGGCTGAGCGCGGTGTAGCCGGTCTCAAAAAAAGGATAAAAAAAAAAAAAAAAGTTTATAATTTGAGCTACTTTAGGGGTTTTGTATTGAGTTACAAATATTTGAAACTTGTGATTGTGATTGAATATGTATTCTTTTTTTTTCTATAGTTTTTTCAACTTTTTTAAAGACTTAAAAGCATTTTTTTTTCCTATAAGTAGCTTTTACATCTTCTCATTCTAAAAATGCAGTTGGATGTTTGGTGGTTGAAATTTCTTTAGATACTGAAAAAGGATGATTGACAAGTGAATTATTCAACAATAATTTGAAAATCTTTCTTTAAGTAACAGGACTTCTTAGACTGAACATGTATATGTTATAGGCAGAGTATATTTTCTTCCTTTATGTGTATACACACACAAAGGTACATAAAATATATACACTTGAATACCTCTCCCCACTTTTTACAATAAATTGAGCTCATTCTATTATGTACTTATTTGTGAAGCATTCGTTGGCTTCATTATGAATTACTCGCTATTCCTAGAAATGGTTTACAATGCCTAAGTCAGTAGTTTGCCTTGATTTATATCATTGGGACTCAGTTGTCCTTAATTTTATGATCTAGTGTAGAGCCTAAGATGTCATGTTCATGTTTAAAGAAAGAAAAAAAATAAGCATTTCAAATTGTTTCCTTTCACTCAGGTCCTTATCTTTACCCTGCCTCATTTAGGAAAAATAAAAGTACTTTTTTATGATCTAATTAATACATGTACATAGTTTAAAATTTCAAATAATACTATAAAGCTTAGAATGAAAAACAGCATTTTCCTATCTCATTCTACCCCACCCCTGAGACCATTGCCCCAAACTCTTAGCAGTTGTTGCTGGTATTTACCAACATATTTTTAAAGAGTAGATATATTCTACTATATCTTTATTTATTGACTTTACTCATGGAAGATGACCCCATGAGTTACCTTTCTCTATATAATATTTTTGTTAATTTCATTGTTTAACTTACAACTTTTATTCACTGGTTAACTAACAAATAAGAGTATTATGATTACAGTTTCTTTCCTGTGCAACATTTTGTTCTTCTTGAAATTAACAGATTTCCCATGGGGTTGTAAAACTTCTTTGTTTTCTGTTTATTCACCATAATCAAGTATTCTGTTCTATTAGTACTAATTTCTTCTCCCTCAGGAGATAGATCTTTTGGGGCCCTTTTCTTTTTCTTCTGTCTGAATTTTTGCTGGCCATAGTCTTTCAGGGCTTCCTCTTGCTTCTCTTACACAGAAGTTGAATCTTCTGTGTCCTGGTCTTTGGCTCATTTTGGTGAGCCCATTTTCCAGGTGCTTTCTGTGAAAATGTACATGGGAGGTAAAATTTTGAGCTCTCTCATGTCAGAAAATGTCTATTCCTTTAAGCTTCATTGATAGTTTGGCTGTAAGTTGAAAAAAAATTTTCCCTCAATTTTTTAAAACATTGCTTCTCTCTTTTAGCTTTCAGCATTGCTGAGGAGAAGTCATTCTGATGGTCAGTCCATTAGTATGTACTCTTTTCTCTGGAATGTTTTAGGATTTTCTCCTTATTTCTGGAGTCGTCTAATTTCCCTGTGATAAGCATTGATTTGTTTCTTTTTCATTCATTGTTTTAATCATTCGTGTCCTTTCATTCTGGAAAGTCCTCAAGTCTTTAGTGTTTTGTTTCTTTGATCATTTTCCCTCTTACTTTAGTTTCTGTCCTCTTTTTTCTGGAGGTTCTGTTATTCATTCAAATGAACCTCCTACATTTATCAACTTATTTTTTTTCTGTTTAATATCTCTTTGCTTTTGCGTCTAAGCGATTTCCATAACTTTATCATATGTTATCTGTCTCAGGATATTCTTTCTTATATTTGTAAATCTTATTCTATCCCCTGCATTGTCTCTTTCATGTCCTTTAGTCTTCAGGTTTTTGTCTGTTTGGTCTCTTTCATTTTTGAGCATCCTCAACTGTCTGAGATCCTTTATTTTGAAAATACATTAATATTTGTGGAATGCAGTTAAAGCAATGTTTATAGAGAAATCTGTAGTCTTAAATGCAGGACAAGGAAACAAAGTAGAAGGAATAATTGGTAATGATAGAAATAAAACTAAATTCATAGTCTATGTGATTGTCCACTTAGAAAATCCAAAAGAATCTGCAGACAAACCATAAGAATTGATGTCTTTAGTGACATCACTGGAGATAAGGTCAATGTACAAAAATCAATTGCACTTGTATAAGCTAACAACACATAAGATAGCATTTAATGAAGATACCACTTACAGTAGTATTAAGAAAGCCATCAGATTCCTAGAAATTATTGTAATGAAAGATGTGTAAGAGCTCTACAAAGAAAAACTACAAAACATTACTAAGAAAAAATTTTTAAAATCTGAATCATTGGAGTAATATACCATGTTTATGGTCTGGAATACTCAGTATTGCTCAGATGTCACTTCTTACCAAATTGATCTATAGATTCAAACAGTCCCAATCAAAATTCTAATAGTGTCTGGGGGAGGGAAGTAAAGTGGGAGGGTTGACAACTTATGTGGACCTGTGGAGAGTCAAAAATAGCAAGAACCATCTTAAAGCAGAAGAGCAAAGTTAGAATTCTGCACCACCAGATATCAAGACTTACCATTGTAATTAAAACAGTGATAATATTAGAACAAGGCTAGACAAATAGACCAATAGAACGAGTGTCCAGAAATAGACCCAAACATATAGAACTATGTAGTTTATGATAACGATATCACAGCAATGCCATAAGGAAAGGACGGTCTTTTCAATAAATGGGGTGGAATCAATTGAATATTCATATTAAAGGGGGGGGGAATATTGATTCCATCACATCATGCACAAGAATCAATTCCATGTGGATTCTAAACCTAAATATAGGTAAAAGTTTCTAGAAGATAGTATATCTTTCTGATCTTGCTAGCAAAGACTTGGTATGCCGGACACAAAAAAGAGCACTAACCCTAAAGGAAGATTGATAAATTGGGCTACACGACACAGGGGCACTTCAAAAAGTTCATGGAAAAATAGGTTGAAAGATAATATAAGTGTTTCCATAAACTCTTTGGAGTATTCTCATATTTCTATTATCAAAATATACCGTTAAAAGAGTCCAAAGGGCAACTCACAGAGTTTGCAATACATATTTCTGACATTGAGTGTGTAACACCCACATATCCATAAAAAGATAATCCAATTACAAAATAGGCATATAACTTGCATACATGCTCCACAAGTAATATATTCAAACACTAAGCAAATGTAAAAGTATTAAATATTGGTCATCCAAGAAATGCAAATTAAAACAATAGTTTTATGCCAATTCATATACCAAAATGGTTAAAGCAAAACAAAGCCAGCAACAACAAAAACCAAATAAACTCCCAACAATACCAAGGATTGCATGTAAAAGCCTTGCTTTCTCATACACCATTGGCAGGGTGTACATTGGTCTAACTACTTTGGGAAACTATGATAGTATCTACCAAAGCTAATTATATGCTTACTCTATGACCCAGCAACTTCACTCCTCGGCACATACCATAAATGCATACATAGGTTCACCAAAAGGCATGTACAAGTATGTTCATAGCAGCTGTATTTTATAATAGCCGTAAATGGAAAACAATCCAAAAGTCTATCAACAGAATAATTTTTTTTATAGTGTGGTATAGTTACATAACAAATGCTATACAACAATTTTTAAAAAATGGATTACAGCTACACACAATAACGTAGACGATTTCCAGTCTGGCCCAATCTCTCTCTCTCCAGCGGTTCTGTACTTTTTGAAGTACAGTGATGTCCCAGTAATGTACAGAAGCCAACTCTTTTCTGACTTTAACTTACTCAACCCCTCTGCAGTTCTTCCCTTTGCTTGTTCTACGTTCCTAAATTACACTTTGAAATTTTCCTCTTTGTCCACTTCTCAATCTCCTTTGCTTACTTTTCTTCCTCTGGTAATGTAGCAGCAGTTCTATAGAGTGCCATCTTTGAGAGTTTATCTTCTGACTACCAAGCCACTCTGGGGAAATTCATGCCTGCCCTATGACTTCGACCATCACATCCATTCCATTGAGTCCCAAATCTTGATCTAAAGTCCATATTTCCCTTTTCAATTCTCCCCCTGAATCTCTATCTCCTTCCTGGATGCCCTTTACTTTATGAGCTCAACGTGTCTCAAACCAAACTAATTAATTTAATGCTCAGAATTTTCTGCTACTCTGTTTGCATTCTCCACCACCTTTTCAGTCTAGCACTTGTTATATTTGATGTTTCTCTTTCCCTGCTCCACTATATCCAATTTGTCATAGCCACATTTTTCATAATATGGCCCCACCTAACATTCTCACTGAATACTCAAGCCAGGCTGAAACATTAGCTTTTCACTTGAAATCTCTGAGCCTTTTCAGATGATATTCCTTCTGCCCAGAACAGTCTGCAGTAATAATACATCATTTTTATGATTGTAAAAATAACTCTAAGTTACCGTGATTCTCCTTTCCCTGAGAGCTGCTAGGTCTACTGTCATGACGTATGTAAGCGGTGGGGCTCTGCCCCCTGATTAATTCAGGAGAAGACATCTGACCCAAGCAGGATAAATGAAATTTGCTAGGGAATTTGGAATTTTGAACCCAAAGACAGAGATTGGGAATGATTGGGAATAACTTAACA